GTTGAAAAATAAATTTGAAAAATCTACACCATCGAAAGACTGTTCGAAAAGTATTTTTTTAAAAATAATAAAAAAAAATATTTTGAAAAATTCACGCTTTCAAAAATATATTTTTTTAATTGTTTGCCTTAGAAAAAAAAAAAAAAACATTTTAAATTTTTCGATTTTTTTTTAATTTTTCGCTTGCGAAAAAATCTAAAAACAAAATTTATGTCATATGACCGAAAAATGATAATTGTCTTGCATTCTTGGTACTTGTCTTTTATTTTTTTACACAATCGTTATTTTTTGTTTTGAAAACATTTTAATTATTTTGTTTATTTATAATTATTTTTTGATTAATAAATTAAATTAACATCCATTTGAACACACTGATATCCAACTGTTTACAAAATTCAAACGAAGATGGGAGCCTCAATTCTATGAATTAAGAAGATTATTTTTTTGTTGTTGTTTATCACTCATTATTCATTAGCACAATAAACTTGTTTTGATAACGTAAAGATAATCATCGACAATAAAAATTGCAATATAAATAAATTCGAAATTTATTTTTTTCATATTTTCATAATATTGTTTTTTTTTCATAAATATTAAAAAAATATAATTGCAATTTTGTTGTTGTTGTTTTTTTTTATAAATATTAAAAAAAATCTTAAACACAAATTATTTTAGAAAATTTTGTTAGAATTTAATAATATTGTATTTTTAATATAATAAAAATATTATTTATTTTAATATTTGTGTGTTTTATTTGTTAAAAAATAATTATTATTTATTTTTTATTTTATTTTTATTTATTTATATATTAAATTTTAATTTTTTTTTTCTTTTTTGCCTTCAATAGCTCATAAATTTGTTTTCTCATATTCAAATCATGGTAACCAATACAGACGCAACAGTTACCCTTCCATGCACATCACAACAAAACCGCATCTGTTACACGATTACGATTATATCAACCCCCTCTGCTTGCTACCGTTACCCTTCTGCTAAGTACACAACAGGGGGAAAATTGTACAACTGCTAAAACACCGTTTGTATCTTCATTTTTTGTTTACAAAATAAACTTTTTTCTTGTTGTTGTTGTTTCATAATAACATTTAATAATAATAACAACAATAGATATGGCTCTGGAGGTAGAAATACTTATTTCACATACTTTTTTTTCTCGACAACTATAAAGATATCCAATATTTGTAGATGTTGTTGTAATGTTGTCTTACTTTAATTGTAAAACACCACTTGTGTTAAATGTTTTATTTATTTAAATTCATTTTTTTAACTTTATTTTTCGCTTCATTATATATTCTATTTTTTGCACACACTCACTCACGCGCGATTTTTCTTATTTAGTGTTTCACAAGTTTTGTTTTTTTTTTCAGTTTTTTCGCCGCAAAACTGACAGAAAAAAGAAAACGCACACGGCATTTGGTCTTTCTACCCCGACGTTCGAAAGTACGCTAAATTGTCCATTGGCTCTCGGTCGTTTGGCATTCGATTTGTTTATTCTGATTAGAAGGACCGCTGCTGCAGCGACAGCGGCGTCACAGCTCACAGCACAGCTTGGCAGAGTTACACTCAATTCATGGGTAGTGATTTTGAGTGAGTTTTCCCCAAAGCATACACAAAGAGATCAAGAGAGAGAGAGAGCTTATATGCAGAGAGTAACGGCAAACGGAAAAACATTACTCGATGAAAACCGTTATCTCTCTCTACACATTTTGTGTGTGTGCTCTGTTGTAAGAGTAACGTAACGTAAGCGAAATGTAAACAAAAGCAAAGCAAAACAAAAAACCATAGTCGTATTATTACGGAAATTATCGAGTGCCAAAAATTGACTTCCGTTTCTCGTATAGCCACCATGCAAGTGAATGTGTGTGTGTGTCTGTGTGTGTGTGTATTTGTGTCGGCGTCTGTTTGCATTCCCAAATGACCAGTATGTGTCAAAAGTTAATTGTAATGAAAACCTAAATCGTTTAAATTGTCGCATCATCCCTTTTATTATTTCTCAACCCCTTCATATCTTTATGGTGCTGCTGCTGCTGTTGTTGTTGTGTAAATCTATACGCCAAGTTCATGTGTAAATATCTCGGTTATCGCAGAGTAAATATTATGGACACAGTGGGTGGTATTATAAATAAAAAATGATTAAGGAATAACATTAAAGCAAAAAACTAGTTAAACCCTTCACAATGAGGTTTACTGACATGGTAAATTGCCTTAAAAAATATTTTTAAAAAATCTATGCCTTTGAAAAAATATTTTGCAAAAAATCTATGCTTTGGAAAAAATATTTTGTAAAAAATCTATGCATTTGAAAAAATATTTTTAAAAAACCTACGCCTTTGGAAAAAATATTTTTAAAAAACCTACGCCTTTGGAAAAAATATGTTTAAAAAACCTACGCCTTTGGAAAAAATATGTTTAAAAAACCTACGCCTTTGGAAAAAATATTTTTAAAAAACCTACGCCTTTGGAAAAAATATTTTTAAAAAACCTACGCCTTTGGAAAAAATATTTTTAAAAAACCTACGCCTTTGGAAAAAATATTTTTAAAAAACCTACGCCTTTGAAAAAAATATTTTTAAAAAAATCCACGCCATGAAAAATATATTTTAAAAAATCTACGCCTTTGAAAAAAATATATTTTAAAAAATCTACGCCTTTGAAAAAAATATTTTTAAAAAATCTACGCCTTTGAAAAAAATATTTTTAAAAAATCTACGCCTTTGAAAAACATATTTTTAAAAAATCTACGCCTTTGAAAAAAATATTTTTAAAAAATCCACGCCTATTAATAGTCTCTTGAAAAAAAAAATTCTTTTTAAAACATCCACGCCTATAAATAGTCTTTGGAAAAAATATTTTTAAAAAATTCAGTAGTGTTGGCGTGTTTTGAAAAATATTTTTAAAAAATGGACTCTTTTGGAAAAAATATTTTTAAAAATGGACTCATTTGGAAAAAATATTTTTAAAAAATCTACGCCTTCCAAAAACTGTTTTTAAAAAATCTAGGCCTTCAAAAAATTATTTTTAAAAATGGACTCATTTGGAAAAAATATTTTTAAAAAATCTACGCCTTCCAAAAAGTGTTTTTAAAAAATCTAGGCCTTCAAAAAATTATTTTTAAAAAATCTACGCCTTCGAAAAGATATTTTTAAACCGGTGCGCGGAGCAGTATAGTCGGACGGTATGGTAATATTTCGCGATACTTGCACCCTCTTGGCCGACTAGAGTTCAAAAATTGCAAAGCGATCAGCGCTATACTTCCGCCCTCTCTCACTCTGTAAATATTTAATTGTAACTCTCACATCAGAGTTCATACGACAATATAATTGTTATTAATTTGAAGGTCAACCACTCCTCTTGAACATACTATCAACTTAACGGTCTATTTCCTTCGGGGGCAAATATATGCGCCATAGAATACAGATTTTGACCCGCTAAATATTGGCCAATCTTTATCAAAACAGGCATGTTTATTCTTTAGCCCGGTCCCGTTCTCCATGTAACATTTCGCGTTCGGGCCATAATTGCGGTCTATAGACCGAGCAGAAAAATCGACAAAAATTAAGTATTTGGTCCATTTCATATCCTAAATATTAATCGATCTTTACCAACAACAATAGGAGTCTTCATTGATCAGAACCCATCCTACATGCAAAATTTCGTGAAGTTTGGTCCCTAACTGTGGGGTTGGGCTACCCGAAAAGGTGAACCAAATTTGATAATTTTTGGTAGGGCGAAGTCATACCTAAATAGAATCCAAAATACCAAATTACAGCCATATCGACTGAAACCCGGGTCTAACTGTTGGAGTAGATTCTGTAGCTGGTTTTCTATTCCCTTCTCACATTCTACCATGATGCGGATTATGGTGTGTACGCGATCCCTACGAAAGGGGTGGGAAAGTGAGGCGTGGGAATGTTCGAAAAAAAAATCCTCAAAATACTGAATGTCAAGGGTACCTTTATATGGACCCTTCCCGAAAATGTGAACCAAAATTGAAATTTGTTTGTAGATGGATTTGGTATCTAGAGAGAATCCAAAATACCAAATCATTTCTGTTGAAACCCCAGTCGAAAATGCTCACAATATAGAATTGTTGGGGGTATCGTTATATGGGGTATATCCGAAAAAAGTTGACCGATATTAAACTCTTTTAAACTTCGGACATTAAGGTATTTCTAGGCCTTCTATAGACAGTTGAAGTCTTCTAGGACTTCCAATGTCTCTATCATTACTTAAGATAACTGTCACATTCCATAGACTTATCTGGTCATTCTATAGACTTCTATGCCATCCATAATATATGTGCGTAGTGTGTATCCATTTGGCTGGCCACCTTTTAAAATCTATTCTATTTGAAAAAGATTATATCGCGTAGCCGATTTTTGCTTCTGTCCATAGTAGAAAGTCTATGTAAGGGTCCCAGTGGAATTTTGAAAGCCAATGCCTGAAAAAGTTAAGAATTTTCAAACTACGACCGTTTTAAATTGATACCCATATTTCTATGGAGAATTTAAAAAGGCAGGGGAAAATACATGGATCTCAACCGAATTTTGGAGGCCCATATCACATAAGGTATAAATTTCCTCGAGAAAAAAATGTATGTGATTGTAATAAGGACCCTTAGACCTATATTTACTAAAGATTTCAAAACGACATGGCCCTTCCTTCTCAACTTCGTAATATCACAAAAGAAATAAAGCTGCTACGATTATGTGGGTCTGGTCCCATGTTGATGGATAACTAACTAGGTGGGTAACATTCCTGGTTTCTGGTCGGCTGTAAACATCTAGAACATTCACGAATTTTCTTTTTATAAAATATTACAAAATATGTTTATTTCTTGAATTTTTACAGCATTCAGCTTCTTTTCTTTCAAAAACTTTGCAACTTAATCTTATCTCGTTATGTGTATAGGAAAGCAATCAATCAGTCAATGATTGCGGAACAACATCATAAAATAGAACACCCACAGCGTGAAATGCTTTTTAGTCTTCATTGAAGAACATTTCCAAAAGATCGGGTTTCTCACATTGATCTCCCTCCAGACGAATGACAGTTTGCCAGCGAATCAAAGTGGGGATGACCATCAATTTAAGGCGGGGATCTTCACGGAAGGGATTTTTCATGTCCTTCCAGCTGCAAAACAATAGAACGTCATATATATTTATAAATCAAAATAAACAGATTTAACTATACTCACAAAGGCCTATCGCCCACGTCAACAGTTAGGAAGACAGCATCATCACCGGCAAATTCTTTGACGGCAGCTTCAACCTTGGGACCAGCTATAAGGAAGATTATGGATCATATTATAAATTTTTAATTGGCCGATAATTTTATACTCTACTTACCCACATTACAATCGGGACACCAACTAACACCCTTGTCATCCTTTTCACCGGTAAAGTAAATGAACAGCTTTTTGCCACATTTACTCAACTCTTCGACGGACTTTTGGAAGCCATCAAAACCTTTTGTATTTTCCAATTGCACCATTTTTGTTTTCGCACAACTTCTTTACCGATTTGTTACTGAACGAATAGTGAGGGAAAATTTTTAGTTTTATCTCATCAATCGATTTGTTACTAATCAAGTGATTTTCAAAACTTTTTTATTGACCAGAGATAAACTGGTGTTGATAATTTTGATAATAATGGGTAAAAATCGAACCGGCAAATATGGCAGTTGTTGTTTTTTTAATAAGGCGTAAACATGGGGTGACCTTGTCAGTCAATTGTGTGGAAATTGGTGTTGAAAATATGTGGAATAATAAGGAATTACTGATGCGGTCACCTGAAGACAACGTCGAGAATTTTTGTGGAACAGCTGATAGCAGAATTGAGTTGCCAACTATAAAAATATTGTTTTTAATAAAGAATAATAGCATGTTCACACGCTAAGCTGTTGTGAAACCTAAAATACAAAGTCATTTTTATGGGTGGCGTAGGGGATGATAGATACCTAGCAACGGCTCTGATTGGCTTTAACATGGCGAGGTCCAGGCTTATCTGGGTCCCTCTTTCATCTCAATTGTGGACACTGACCTCCCCGCGGTGTCATCTGGATGTAGCTATTTTCATCACCATTTTAAATAGTAAGGTGATATGTGCCGCGAGTTCACCCATAAGAACTATACAAAATGGGTTGAGGCGTCGGGTTAGTTGCCCACACTCGGAAAACCCCTCCTACTATGAAAAAGCAATGAAAAAGAAAACCAATGTTGACGACCCCCGCAAACGATCTGCGAATCTGCACTTGGAATGTGCGCAATGTGCTTTACAGGATATTTAAGGGAAGGGGCAGGCGTAAGTAAATCAGACGATTACGCACTGTATTACAGCTGTCATGAAACGAGGCATGAATTTGCTGCGGACAGGAGAATTAAAGACCTCGTCTCCAGATTCACTCCAGTAGATGAGGGAATTGCTATAATCCGCATAAAAGCGAAGTTCTTTTACATCAGTCTTACTTGCGCTCATGCTCCGACCGAAGACGAGGATGAGCAGACCACAGACATATGCTCGTAACATATGTCTTTGGTCTGCAGCACCAGTTTCAGGTATCTCAATGTACATAAGACCACCTGGATTCCTCTTGATCAAGCAACGATAAATCAAATTGACCATGTTGTGATAGACGGAAGGCATTCGTCCAGTGTTTTAGACGTTCGATCAATACGCTGAGCGAATATCGATTCGAACCATTACCTTGTGGCAACCAAGGTTCGCACTCGTGTTAATGTAGCAGCAAAGTTGTGATCTAACACAACACGGAAACTCGACGTCGAAAAGCTGCAAACACAACAGATGGCCGAGGCCTACTCGGCCATATTACCCACTTGCTTGACGAAAGCACTTTTTGTCCCGATAATAGTATAGAAGCACAATAGCAAAGAATTGCCTACTCCCTATAAACTACAGCAAAAGCAACACATGAGTACCAAAGATCAAAATCAAGAAACCCATGGTACTGCTGAAAAACGTAACGTATAGGGCAACCCTGCGGACAGTAGCAACACGTAATGCGAGGGAGAAAAGGAGAAACGAATTTTCAGAAAAAGGAAGAAAGAACAAGAAAAACGTGAGCAAATAGAGATATACAGGAGTTAAGGGCTAAGCAGAAGCTTTACAAAATGCTCCTTCCAAATCCTTCCAGCTGGCACAGGAGGATGTGACAAGATTTTCATTCTGCGCCATTGACCAGATTTTCATTCTGCGCCAGATCCTGGAAAACCCCCACGAAAAACACATTCACCTATTTGTCGACTATAAAGCCGCATTCGACAGCCTTATCCGTTCAGAGGTGTTTAAACCCATATCATTCCTGTAAAATTAATACGGCTATGCGGGACAATTTTAACTGGTACAAATTCAGCAATTAAAGTAGGAAAGGACCTAACGGAGCCTTTCAATACCGAACGAGGATTCAGACAAGGTGACAGTTTGTAGTGTGACATATTCAACATCCCGTTTCAAAAGGTCATACGAGATGCAAATGTGAGCGGAAATGGCACTCTGTACACCAAACAACACACGCCTACCCCTACGACATCGACATAATGCCAATGTTCAACCCATTATGTCGATGACGTCGGCGTAGGCGAGTAACAGCCACTTTTGAACGAATTGAGAAGGAGTCTGCCAAAGTGGGACTGGCAGTAAATGGCGAGAAAACCAAGTTGATGGTATCAACGCGCAAGACGTCCAGTAGATTCGGACCAACTGTGGAAGTTGAAACCTACAGCTTCGAGGTAGTGAACGATTTTATATCGTTTTTATACCTCGGTACCGCCATGAACGAAACTAATAACATCAATTTTGAAATCCGGAGGAGAAGTGTTGGCCAACAGATGCTACTATGTTTTGAGTAAGCAACTCAAAAGCAAGGCCACCTCTCGCCATATCAAACTTACACTCTACAAGACGCTGATATTACCCGTGTTGTTGTATGGATCTGAAGCATGGGTACTTGCGCAAGCAGATGAGGCAACTCTTGGAGTGTTTGAGAGAAAAATTCTCCGAAAGATCTATGGGCCGATCTGCGTTGACGGTGAATATCGCCGTCGACCATCTATTCCCGGAAATCGACATTGTTAGACGTATTGAGCTGCAGCGACTACGTTGGCTAGATCATGTTGTGAGAATGTATGAAGATGCCCCAGCCAGGCAACTCTTGGAGTGTTTGAGAGAAAAATTCTCCGAAAGATCTATGGACCGATCTGCGTTGACGGTGAATATCGCCGTCGACCATCTATTCTCGGAAATCGACATTGTTAGACGTATTGAGCTGCAGCGACTACGTTGGCTAGATCATGTTGTGAGAATGTATGAAGATGCCCCAGCCCAAAAGGCATATAAAAACGAACCAGCTGATGGTTCACGCAGAAGGGGAAGGTCACGAATAAGATGGAAAGATTAAGTGAAAGACAATATTGCCGAATATGATCTTTCAAACTGGAAAAAACTGCGCAAAAGACCGACGCGCCTGAAAATCTTTTTTATGCTCGGCTTATGGAACAAAAATTCTGCCACAAGCCAGCTAAGTAAATATGTAATATACTTGAGTAATATACTTGAGTACCTAAAAAACCAACATTCGCCAAGTTATGGTTAAAATACCGCTCATATATGTCAAAAAATGGTCGAAAATTACTTCAACATTTCGACGTCATTCACAACCGCTTCATTAAGGGAAAAATCGTCTAAAAAATTTAAAATACCGAAAATGGTTAGGTACCTTTACCATTATATGGGGGCGATGTCAAAACCTAGACCTATGTCAAATATTTTTCTCACAATCAGAAATATCGTTCGCAACTAAAACCTTTAAAATATGTCAAAACATGAATTTATATATAATATATTTCTTTTTGTATTCAGATCGGGTATATATAGATTCTTTATGGGGAGCCAACTTATATTTCCAATTAGGATAGGGAATAAATATGTCATAAATCAGATAAAATAATTTACTGAAGTGTAAACACTACATTACAATCTCCATCTCTAACATGCATCCGAACGCCATCTATGTTATTTTTTCAGCGAACAACCGGTGAAAGTTTACCACGTCAAACAAAACGGCAATCATCACTCACCCCGAACTGATAACACAAAACAATTTTTGTTTGCCGGTAGATGTGTGGTTCGATAAATGTTCCACCACACGGCCAACACACACAACAATCACCCATAGCAGCGGCTGCCGAAAAGAAGAAGAAGAAAGAATTACGTGTCATTGTAGTAAACAGGCAGATATTCTAATCGATAATTGTAAGTCGTCCAGCAGACCAGCAAAAGGCAAACTGTGATATAGGTTTTTTTCTGCTTCCAGCTCATCTTCGTGGTAAAACTGGCGGAGCGACATGAATCGTCCTGCGTCGAAAATCTTCAATAGAACTGCCGGTTATAGCAGTTTGATAACCTTTGCGGTGCTATTGATTGCCTGGCTAGCCGGCTTTTCCTCGCGTCTCTTTGCCGTCATCCGATTCGAGTCGATTATTCATGAGTTCGATCCATGGTTCAATTACCGGGCCACGGCCTATATGGTCCAGCATGGTTTCTACAAATTCCTCAACTGGTTCGATGAGCGGGCGTGGTATCCGTTGGGCCGCATTGTGGGCGGTACCGTCTACCCCGGCCTGATGATAACATCGGGCAGTATCCACTACCTGCTGCATGCGTTGAACATTCCAGTGCATATACGTGATATATGCGTATTCCTTGCGCCTGTATTCAGTGGTCTGACCGCCATCTCGACGTATTTGCTAACCAAAGAGCTGTGGTCATCGGGTGCTGGTCTATTTGCGGCCAGTTTTATTGCCATCGTGCCGGGCTATATCAGTCGTTCGGTAGCCGGTTCATATGATAACGAAGGCATTGCCATCTTTGCCCTGCAGTTTACTTATTTCCTGTGGGTGAGAGCGGTGAAGACGGGTTCGGTGTTCTGGTCGGTGGGAGCTGCCTTGTCCTACTTCTACATGGTCTCAGCCTGGGGTGGCTATGTGTTCATCATTAACTTGATCCCCTTGCATGTGTTTGTGTTGCTGATTATGGGCCGTTATTCGCTACGCCTGTTGACCAGTTACAGTACCTTCTATATATTGGGCCTGATCTTGTCGATGCAGATTCCATTTGTCGGCTTCCAACCCATTCGCACCAGTGAACATATGGCTGCTGCGGGTGTCTTCTTGTTGCTGATGGCTGTGGCCGCATTGAAACATCTACAGACGGTGCTATCGAAGAGTGAATTCAAGAGGCTGTTTATTGTGGGAGGTCTTTGTGCTGCCGCTGTGGTATTCCTCGGTGTTGTGGCTTTGACCATCATGGGAGTCATTGCTCCATGGAGTGGTCGTTTCTATTCTCTGTGGGATACTGGTTATGCTAAGATCCACATTCCCATCATCGCCTCCGTATCGGAACATCAACCGACCACTTGGTTCTCATTCTTCTTTGACCTGCACATTTTGGTGTGTGCCTTCCCAGTGGGTGTGTGGTATTGTGTGAAGAAGATCAACGATGAGCGTGTCTTTGTGGTGCTATATGCCATCAGTGCGGTATACTTTGCCGGTGTTATGGTGCGTCTAATGCTGACTCTGACACCTGTGGTATGTATGTTGGCCGGTGTGGCATTCTCTGGACTATTAGATGTTTATCTGAGAGAGGATAACACCTGTCCTGCTGCAGTAAATGCTGCCGCCAACAGTGAGGAAAATGATGAAAGCCCAACAGAAAAGAAGTTGTTGTATGACAAGGCTGGCAAATTGAAGCATCGTGTGAAGCACGATACCCAACAGCAAGAGGGTACCAATGGTGTTGGCTCCAATCTCCGTAGCATTGTAATTCTGGCCATTTTAATGATCCTCATGATGTTTGCCGTTCATTGTACCTGGGTAACCAGCAATGCCTATTCTAGTCCCTCCATTGTTTTGGCTTTCCACAACAGCCAGGATGGATCCCGCAATATTTTGGATGATTTCCGTGAGGCCTACTATTGGTTGTCGCAAAACACCGCCGATGATGCCCGCATTATGTCCTGGTGGGATTATGGTTATCAAATAGCCGGTATGGCAAATCGAACTACCCTGGTGGATAACAATACTTGGAACAACAGTCACATAGCCTTGGTGGGTAAGGCCATGTCCTCCACCGAAGAGAATGCTTACGAAATTATGACCTCCTTGGATGTGGATTACGTTTTAGTAATCTTTGGTGGTGTTATTGGCTATTCGGGCGATGATATCAACAAATTCCTGTGGATGGTACGTATTGCCGAGGGTGAACATCCCAAGGATATCAAGGAAAGTGATTACTTTACCGATCGTGGTGAATTCCGTGTCGATAGTGAAGGTGCCCCAGCCCTACTCAATTGTCTGATGTACAAGTTAAGTTACTATCGTTTTGGTGAGTTGAAGTTGGACTATAGAGGACCCGCTGGATATGATAGAACACGTAATGCTGTAATTGGTAATAAAGATTTTGATTTAACCTATCTGGAAGAGGCCTATACCAGCGAACATTGGTTGGTACGCATATATCGCGTGAAGAAACCGCACGAATTCAATCGACCCGCCCTTAAGGCTGACGAACGTCTTGTATCGCCCACCAACTTTGTATCACGTAAAAACTCGAAACGCAAGCGTGGTTATATTAAGAGCAGACCCGTTGTAGTCAAAGGCAAAAGAAGTCAAAAATAAATGAGCCGATTCGATTCGATTTTTTGTATTTAATTTTAATTTTCTATAGAATTCCTTTGTAACAACAACAACTAGAAGAAAAAAACATAGAATACTGCTGCTGACGGACTGAGTAAGGAAGTCGGATCGTAGAATATAGATCTGTATGTATTGTGTATTTGATCGATGGAGAAGTGCATTTTTTCTGTTGGAAAATTTATACGTTATATGAAGAAGAAGAATTAAAAATATTATTACTATTATGATTTCCAATTTATTATACAATCGATGTGTGACTTCAAATTAAAAATAATTAATAAATAAATGAATGAGTTTTTATTCAACAAAATAATTATAAAAAAATAAAAAACAACAACAAAAAACTTTTAATGCAAAGCTAACAAGATTAAGTGATAAGAAAAACATAAGATTCTGGCCTTCAACTGATAGAAGACCTTGAGTTCGTTTTCTATAGACAAATACCTTCAAAAGGAATTATAAACCTACCGGAGATCTTCTATATGAAGACGTGTAAATTAAATTTTTCATCCCGTTTGCTAAGCGTCAAAATATACGTCGGCATATGTGAATCTTAATAATCAGAATAAAATTCTATATAGATTTAGAAATACAGCATTTCTAAATCTCAAATTTTGGATTTCTCAAATTTTGGATTTTTTAATGAATGAATTTTTAAAACATATTTTTCAAGGGCCACGAGATGCGTGGATTTTTTAAGAGTATTATCTTAAGGTCCAAGAATAGGCGTAGATTTTGTAAAGAATATTTTTTAAGGACCATAATAGGCGTATATTTTTTAAAGAATATATTTTCAAAGAACATAATAGGCATATATTTTGTAGAGAATAATTTTTTTCAAGGACCATAATATGCGTAGATTTTACTTACTTTACTTAGCTGGCTCGTGACAGAACTTTCGTTCCATAAATCAAGCTTAAAAAAGATTTCCAGGCGCGTCGGACTTTTGCGCAGTTTTTTCCATTTTGAAAGATCATATTCGGCCATGTTGTCCTCCACTTGATCTTTCCATGTTATTCGTGGCCTTCCCCTTCTGCGTGAACCATCAGCTGGTTCGCTTTTATATGCCTTTTGGGCTGGGTCATCTTCATCCATTCTCGCAACATGACCTAGCCAACGTAGTCGCTGCAGCTCAATACGTCGATGTCCGAGAATAGCTCATGGTTCATTCGACGGCGATATTCACCGTCAACGCTGATCGGCCCATAGATCTTTCGGAGAATTTTTCTCTCAAACACTCCAAGAGCTGCCTCATCTGCTTACGCAAGTACCCATGCTTTAGATCCATATAATAGCACCGGTATTATCAGCGTCTTGTAGAGTGTGAGTTTGGTCTGGCGGGAGGTGGCCTTGTTTATAAACTGCTTACTAAGACCAAAGTAGCATCTGTTGACCTTTACAATCCTTCTCAGAATTTCCAAACTGATGTCATTTGTATTATTTATGGCGTTACCAAAGTATATAAAATCGTTGACTACCTCGAAGCTGTAGTTCTCAAGCTCCACAGTTGGTCCGAGTCTACTGGACGTCTTGCGCGTTAATACCAACAAATTGTTTAGCTGGTAACCCGTCGGCTCCTGCTGTTTTATTATCTTCAGCCGATTGATTGTATTCTGACTTCATCTTGGCTAGGTGGTATACAATCTATACCGTTATCGATTATTGGTTCCGGGGTATCCTTTTCACCGCTACTATTTGATGCCAGAAGTTTTTCAAAATGCTCCTTCCAGATACTCAGCACGCTGTCTGTATCTGTCACCAGGTTTCCTTCTTCATCTCTACAGGAGAATGTGCCTGTGCCAAAGCCTTCGGTTTGGTGTTTTACTCGTTGGTAAAATTTTCGGACTTCATTCTGACTCCTGTACATCTCGATTTGTTCTCGCTCACGTTTTTCTTGTTCTTTCTTCTTTTTTCTGAAAACACGTTTCTCCTCTCCTCCTCCTTTTCTCCCGATAGTTCTCCATCGCATTACGTGGACTTCGTCATGTTAAAGCCAATCAGAGCCCTTTGCTTGGTATCTATCATCCCCTACGCCACCCAGACATTGACATATAATTTTTAAAAAATCCACGCCTTATATTAGGCTGAATCGATTTAGATATATGCGTCTGTCTAGGTCCAATATATATTTCTGAGGGTTTTGGATTGTGAATATTTTTAGGGTTGATTTTAAAAGAATATACAAGCGAAATATTGGATTACCTTTAGACCTCTTAAGTGTATTTTCTTGCATTTAAACTTGAACTCGAAGCTCAAGATTAAAAAGTCCAATTACACACCTCATTCTTGATTGCCAAGCAAAAAAGCGTAGCATAGACGATTTGTAGTAAAATTTTTCAGACATCAGCAAAATTCTTGTGGAAGAAATTTTGTAATTGAGAATATTAACGAAGGTGGTGGCGTCCAATCATTTAAATACAATAAGAATAAAAGCATGGGTTGTTTCAAGCATCAGCAGCATTTATCATTCTGAAATGGGTAAGTGCAGGTCATCAGCAGCTTTCTTTAAATAAATAAAAAATATTTTTATTTTCTTTACAGCGTTCCATAAACCCTACAATCAAATTACATTGTGGAAAATATTTTTCTGTACCTCTTGTATTTATTTATTGGCCGCCGAGGCAGCCATTAGTCAAATAACCTATAAGAAGACAAATTTGGCAGAAGATAAAACCCTGAAGAAACCTCTGGGAATAAATGACAAATCAACAACAACATCTATCCCACTAACCAGTAGTGACACTACCACCAGTCCCAACGAGTTAACACTAAAATCAAATCTGGAATCCTCCACAGCTTTAACATTATCTCTGACAACTGAGGAAAATGATGAAATTCTAAAATCTACAACTTCTGCTGCTGTTGGACCCAAAAAAATTTTAACAAAATTGAAAAAGAACCCCTCCCGTGTTACGACAAATCGTTCGACAAACACAACCGAACTTGTACCCTGTACCTGTGGTATTTTCCTTAATACACAATTTACGAAAGGTTCAACAGATCCACCACGTGGTGAGGCGGTGGTTTCAAATTCATTGGATCGTACTTTCGCCTGTAATGGTATCGGCCAGAAACATTGTCAAACGAAATGTTTGGAACAGGTAAGAGACTAAGAAAAACTACTTTAAAAATTTATTTATATATTCTAATATTTGTTTTTCCTTTCAGATTGTCCGCCATCTACCAAATTCGGCCAATATTCTATGTGCTGCCCTGGACCATGACATACATAAACAGCGAGCCTATTTGTTTACCAAGAACTGTCAGGATATTTGGGTAAACACCAATTTAGCTGCAGGACGAGAATATTGTTGTAAAAATCGTGAACCTTATAATTGTAAATTACCACAGTAGAATAGGGAAAGATATGTAATATTTAGAATATTAAAAAATGTTTAATAGGATTGAAAAATAGAATGGCTTCTTGATTTCCAGAACTCAAAAAATATTAATCGACTTAATTCGGACAACAATCCAACTCCCTTAGAAAAATATATATTGGACCTGGACAGTCCTATGTATCCAGATCAGTTCAGCTAGTCAAATATAAGAATCCACATGAACGGGTCTTCTATACACTTCAATATCAGGTATTTGAATATTTTATATTTTGAAATATTTGAAGAAATCCACGCCTTTGTTAACCCTCCAAAATTTATTTTGAAACCAGTAAGGAAAGTAGTAAAGTCGGACTGGACCGACACCACTTACATATGTATCCTTACAATGGCATGCCAATTTTCCCTCGAAGGAACATTCTCATGTGTTTCTGCAACCTATGATAAATTTCATTTCATTCGGGAGGTATATCGAATCTTAACATATTTTCACGAAATTTAATACACATCGTTCTAGACTTAATTCAGTACGGTATGCCAAATTTGTTCTAGGTGGTAGGTTTCAAAGGTCTATTATGAATAGATGACATTCTATAGGTCTTCTCTAGGTAGAATTCTATGTTCAGGCCTTCTTTAGTTAGATTAACTTCCATAGTTCTTTTGTTGGAATATCTTACACAATCCTTTTCTGTGAAGACCTCCAAAAAATATTGAAAACCTACAACCGGGTTTTTATAAATGAAAGAATTTTTTGGCTACGCGAAAGAATTTTCTCCTTTTTATAGGGTTCTAAGGCCCATATCGCACCATATTAGAAAGGGCATTGTGTAGTCTATCTTTTGGGTCTGAATTGGTGATGGACTATAATAGACCATTGTTCGACTTTTGGGGGGGGTTCTCAAAAAAATCGGGGTCCAAAAACTGTTTTTGACTGTATCTCCCAAACTCAATGTAAAAGTATTTTCATAAACTTTAAAATGATACCCATTTTGTATTAATCGAATTTATAGAACCGGATATAACCGGGTACCCGTAATCGAACTTCTGGTTCAAATAACCCGGTCCCCCAAGAAAAAAAATATATCCCCATAATTAAAAAAAATCGATTCGTTTTTACTAAACTACAAAAAAAAAACAACAACATATTCAATCACTTACATTTTCACGCCACAGCTTCTTCATTAAATCCATAGACGAACACAGCTATGCAAATAGTTTGGTTAATGTGTGTATAATACACACAAACACACTTACATATTTCTTCCCGTTTTGAAAACAACAACAATATTTCTTGCATTTCCGAACAATTCGATTTTTGCAATGACTATTTTTCTGTTGCATGCAGTGCTCATAGCCGTATTGGTTTCAGCAGCACACATCAATAGACAAACTTCACACACAACATAGTTACACACACACATACATTTAACAGTCATCAAACGCGTCGAAAGCTCACGAAATTCCCGCCAAAAATACATTCGAGTTTTTGCATTTTGTGTGTTAGAACAATGATAGATCTTTGACAATGAACCAAACATACACACACACAGATCAAACATTTAATTTTATTTTGCCCAGAATTTCATCACGTTTTTGATAATTCTTGACTTTTTTCATGATTTTATAAAATTCACTTCAATTTCCTTTGAAAATATAAAACGAAATAATTTTTTTAATTTACTTGTACATGACAACTACAAAAAAAACACTAAATTTTTTTCTTCCTTTACGCTTTCATCCGCTCGACAAAACACGTCCGTCCGTTTTAAAAGTCGCGCGATAACTAAGCAAAAGAAGTTTCTTGTTCTCAGATGAGATCCTCGATAATCAAGAGATTCCAATGAGAATTTCTCTTTGCCGACATAGGATATAGGAAGTATGCAATTTACAATTGACAAAACACCGAGTTGTCAACTCTCTATTGCAGAGAGAACATTCCAACGGACACCAACTTTGTTGCGTTCTCTTGACATTCGTTGTTGTTGTTGAAACAAAAGGGCATGGGATATAGGAAGCATGCAATTTAGTGTTTGCCAAAAAACAGTGTTGCCAACTATCTATTTTTTCACATTATTGTGTGGATATGAGAAAATGCTATGCTTTTGGAAATAGACAGCTTAAGGAAGAGAAAGAAAATGTTTTCGAAGAGAAAACTGAAATTACAAAATGCATTCGTGATCGGAATAAAATTCTTGGTCTGTTTCAGTACTTTTTTAATAGTAAAGCTAGTAAAAGGGAAACATTTCAAAATCCCTATCTGAGTACTAAATAATTTGAAAAGTTTGGGAACGCAAATCTACAAAGAGAACGCCATTTTGTTTTGTGCTCCCCTTAATCTGGTTCAATGTTTTAACAGTTTTATGCGTTCAGAAACGGTTTCGGAGTAAAAAGTTCCAAAACATGTAAAATTAATAGATTATTTTATAGTACGTTTACATTTAACCGGATTTCGTTAACTCAGTGGGTTCCAATTGTCAATTCCTTTGCATATATGTAAAATAAATCCTCATAAAAAGTTCTAATGTACAAGGTGTTTTAGGTTCTGGAACGGAACTTCTATGTCGATTTTGCCATTTCCGCCTGTCGGTCCGTCTGTTGAAATCGCCGTAGCTCTGTTGAAAATAGAGCTTTGATATTTTGCACATACATTGTCATTATTCCTAAGAGGTTTGGCGTTGAAAGTTGGATCCATATTTGGGCATAATCCCCTAAGAAGGTAGCGCCTCATTGCCAATATTTTGAGGTTTCTAGACGCATTTTCCTTTGTAGTGGCTGTAATTTGGCAAACCTAGATATTGGAGGGTAAAAACAGTCCCATATTTGAAATGTTGTTTCTTAAAATACTCATTTCAGCTTTTAAATAGGAGCATATTTAAATATCATACATAATAAAGAGAGGATCAAAATCAAATGGTCAGATGAGACTACCTTCTGTAATTATGTCATGTTAGGTCCTTAAAAAAACATTTTTAAAAAATTCCAAACCTTTTGAAGGCCTTTGATAAAATATTAAAACCAGTGACCGGAGCAGTATAGTCGGACGGTGCGGACCATACGATACCCTACACAACTTCCATGAAAATCTAACTTTCTGTGGTTCTATATTCTGAGATTGGGCAATATTTCGCTATCTTTGCACACTTTTGACTGTCTAGAGATCAGCAAATGTTACTAATAATCAGTACAGCCCCTCTAATTACTTGTCCAGATTCCCTTCACCTTGGGTTGTGTTCTGATGTTCGGCTTTCGACTCGAAAAGTACAAATAATAAAATTTTCGGTCCACTTCATCCGAAAAGTTATTATTTGATCATCACCTAACATTTTAGGCGTTGTCCTTGACCATAACTGGAACCTCATGGATCATTTCAAAGCGATCAGCGGTATATTTCCGCCCTCCAGTGTGGTAATAGGTTACTAAATAATATATGAATACGTAAGCACCTGTAAATATTTAAGTGTAACTCCCGCATCCGAGTACCTACGACAACATAATTGGTATCAATTTAAAGGTCAACCACTCCCCTTTCATATACTATCAACTTCTCGGGTCTATGTCCTTCAGTGGTAAATATATACGCTATAGAATACAAATTTTATAATTTTTCACACAAAAGTTGGGGTCCATTTGACCCGCTAAATATTGACCGATCTTTATCAAAACAGGCATGCTTATTCTTTGGCCCGATCCCATTCTCCATGCAAAAATTCGCGGTGTTTGGGCCATAATTGCGGCCTCTGGAGCGACCAGAAAATCAGACAAAAACAAAGTTTTTGGTCCATTTCATCCCCTAAATATTAACCGATCTTTTCCAAAAACAATAGGGGTCTTCATTGGCCAGAACCCATCCTACATGCAAAATTTCGTGAAGATTGGTCCATAACTGTGGCCTGTATCGTGTTTACAAATTATAATGGACAGACGGACGGACACACATGTCTAGATCGACTCAGCTAGTCGAGATATGACGATCGGTATACTTAAAGGTGGGTCTAGGACCAATATTTCGCGGTGTTACAAACTTTTGGGGCTGCACAAAGCTATAATACCCTGACAACATAGTTGTGTAGGGTATAAAAATAAACCTTTCTTGGCATTTCGAAAACTACGCATTTTGGATGCCTGAAAAATATTTTTAAAGAATCAAATTTTTGTTTTTTTTAAAGCTACCCATATATAAATTCCTTGTTGGCGCCTTGCATTTTTTTAATCCATGCATTTTTTGGCGCCTTGAATTTTTTTTTTTCAAAATTACCCCTTTTTGGACCCCTGAATTTTTTTTTAAAAATCCATGCCTTTTTGGCGCCTTATTTTTTTAGAAAATCCTCGTCTTTTTCGACTCTTGAAAATTTTACGACTTTTTCGACCCTTGATTTTTTAAATTTCGCCCTTTTGGACCCTTGAAAAAAATGCTTTTAATCCACGCCTTCTTGGACCCCTGAACATTTTTTTATCCACGCCTTTTTGTACCCTTGAAAATTTTTATTTATTTATATTGCTAAAAAATCCACGCCTTTGTTTGACCCTTAAAAAGTCAAATTCTTTGAAAGTGTCATCGAAAGGTTGCAGAAATGTAAAACGTTCAAAGGTCTATTATGAATAGAAGACATTCTATAGGTCTTCTCTAGGTAAAATTCTATGTTCAGATATTCGATGTTCAGATCTTTCTTAGTTATTTTGTTGGAATATCTTACACAATCCTTTTCTGCGAAGACCACCAAAAATATTGAAAACCTTCAACAATTTTCGGCTACGCGAATTGTCTCCTTTTTACAGGGTTCTAAGATCCATATCGCACCATTTTAGAAAGGGTCTGAATTGGTGATGGACTATAATGGAGCCTTGTTCGACTTTTAGGGGGGTTCTCAAAAAAATCAGGGTCCAAGAACGGGTTTTTTACTGTATGTAAATGTATTTTCATAAGCTTTAAAATTAAACGGGTCCATAAACCAGGATACCCTTTTAGTAGCTATGTCACCTGGATTTTTAAAGCAGGTCCATAGGGATATATTAATTATTATAGACTATTTTTTAGCAACCTTCAGAGCACTAAGCGTGGAAAATCAATCATTAAAACCCACATTTTCAAAAAAATATATATTATTTTTTTACAATTAGAGTAACTTCGGGTAATGTGGACTATGCGTCTAATGTGGACCACCCCCCCATATCTAAGAAAATGCTAAGAAATATGTCAATGCCGCCTAGATAAATGTTTTCCCAATTAGTGAAAACAAACATCAAACTTGGTTTTTAATAAATAATTGCAATGTTGAAAATTTAGTAGTAGAAAATGTAACTCTGATTGTAAAAGTGTGATTTGGACTTTTTTTTGCACAACAGTCGAACGGTTTTGTAAAATAGTCGAACACTTTGTTTTTCTCGAATATAAAGAAGTCATGTGTTTTTCATGTTTTCTTTAATTTAATTTTTATTCATTTTTGAAGCCGATTATTTTTTTTTTTTTAAAAAATATTCAATGTTGGGTAATGTGGACCACTATAAAAAAGTTGACTTTTTCATGAGGACGAGTTTGAAACATGGGCGCATTTAATATGCGAGGAGGTATTCCATTCTCTGAAAACTCGAAAAGCGGAATTACAGGTGCTTCGGTTGGATAATGAAGCCAGGACCTTCAAAATACCGCAAATGGGGTGGACCCTTAAATGGGGTCTATTCCAAAACAGAAACCCATACGTTTTTGCATTAACTGTTACCCAGAGCCCAATAAATTGAAATTTATCACAACCAATTCACAACCTACCTTTAACTTACTGATCCTCATTACCCATACATACTGGTCCACATTACCCGCCAAATTATTTTTATTCACAGTTTAGAGTTTTTTGAAATATAATGCAATAACATTTTTATTGACAAATATATATAATGTTTGACCTGGAATATCTTTAGTCAACAAATCTACTATATTGTGAAAACAATTTGTTTTTATTTTTTACCGTTGTTACGCCCACAATATCAAAAAATTAAAATGGTGGTCCACATTACCCGAAATTACTCTAATCTTATGGGCTAACAATAAGACGAGATTTAAAAAATGTTTTCAAGACATTTTCAATAGTATTTTTCAATGCCTGCTATACCTGGTAGAATATCTGCACTCAATCTTCACGGCCTGTAGTGATGTTGCGAGACTACTTAGGCAGTTGGCTGTCGAAACGGATACTGGTACTGATGAGACCCCCGTCGATAAGATGGATGATTCATCAGTACCAGTAACTGCTAGGCAAGTCGATGCCAAGTAGATGTACCGGAGAGCAATTGATGGGACCCATTGGTCCACTCTTTCTGGTACCTCCCCCACAGATGGTTAACATTTTCAATATTTATAATACCAATATGAAGTTAATGGAATGTCCTTTTGAACCAAACTTTGCACAACCTATTACCTTTACAAAGCCTAGATCAAGTTTGAAGACCTCCGCAAACCATAGGCTGGGGGTATATATCTGTCGGCAACACCGACTGACACTTTTCTACTGGTTTAAATTAATTTTTTCAAAATTATTTTTCAAGACCTATTAAAAGGCGTGGATTTTTTAAAAAATATTTTTCAATGCCAAATTTTTAAGGCATACGAATATTGAGCTATAAAACTATTTACTTTCCCACACCGATCTTTAAGAATAAAATCACATTGTTTTATGTTTTTATATATAATTAAAAGAAAAATCATGTATTTATAAAAATTGTGTGTTTTTTCATAAAACTAAAGAACTTATAAATTATACACATATATATATAACTACTAAAAATAATATATTAATTTTTTGTTCGAATTAATTTGTTTTGAAATGAACAATGATGTTTGTGATGAACAAATCAGATGTGTGTGCAATGAAATGGCATGGAATGGAACATATGATGTTGGTGTAAATGGGCAAGATGGAATTATTGTTAATAAAAAATTAAATACAAATAGAGGTAATATAAACAAATTGTGTTTTTTAATATTTAAAATGAATACATAGTTACACATATATATAAATAAATTATTTTCTAAAATAATGATGACAAATAAATAAAAAAGAAACGAAAAATAATTAATTTATTAAGAGATGATGTGCAATGGAGATGAAATATATAAGCGAAGGGAGGCGGAAATTAAATTACATTAAAACAAAAATAATAATACTAGTTGAGAAATTAAGTTTTTATATTATATGTATATGTATAGCAGTATTGTTGAGAATCTTAGAGGTCTAAATTTCATAATTAGAAATCTTTTGTTTTAATAAAAATGAAATTAAGGCCTCTATGATTCATAGACCTGCATTTGTAAGTAATTTTAAAAATGTAAATTAGTTTTTCTCTTTTTTTATAAAATATTAAAGCAACATATTACAATTTAATGAGATTTTTAAAGTAAATACAGGGAACAAACAACTGGCGTTGAACGGAAAAATAAGATAATAACAAGTATTGTTTTTTTTTTTTTTCACAGGATAATATTTGTATAACAAATGTAAGGATGTTGGGTTGTTAGGCACTTTTGTATTTCAATGTGGAATTAATCGTTGAAAAATTTCTTTTTGGCCGTGGCAGTCTCAAAGTTAATTGTGGAGAGTCTGTAAACGAAAAAAAAAAATTTCATTAGTATCTGACGACAATTTAGTTTTTGTGCTGTCACAACTTACCTAGCCATTTTCGGTGTTAAATATGACGTGGAAGTTATTGTGGTTTTTGTTGTAACATATGTATCATCGGTAGCATTGCTTTTATTTGCATTTTCATTATCACTATCAGCTGTGTTAGGAGGTGAGTCTTTTTCCAGTTTTATTGCAACATCGTTTGTTTGTTCACCACCAGCCTCATTGTTGGCATCCATCATCATGTCATAGTTATCGTCATCGGGATGTTCATTCACTGGTCCTATAATACGGTTGAGACAATTCGAGGTACATTGACAATTTACCGTACATTTCTGATCGAGCGAATTACATCCGCAACGCTTGTTGCGGCAGTCACCACGGCATTGGCAGCCCTTGGACTTCCGCTTGTGCTGACCCTTGCCAGACGTTTTTGCAGCTCCTCCAAGTGTTCGTGAATGAGTGGAGTCAAAGGAGTTCTGTTGTTGGTCTTCATCCATATTGTGGGAGATATCTGATTGGGAGATGGACTTGATGGATGTTGATGCTCTGACACCGGTGGTGGTCCGCATGTTCTGAAATCAAGTCGTACCTTTTTTTGTAATCACATATTATATATTATTTTTATTTAATTTGATTGGGTTTTTATTTGTGATGATGGGGGAAAAGGTGTTTGGGGAGGGGGGATGGGAAGGATTTTGGTTATTAATATAATTATTGATATTCGAGATAAAAGATGGTGTGAAACAAAGAAAGAAAAATGCAATTTATTCATACTTACATTTGGACGTTTTCGGCGCACCATGGGTGTCTTGGACCAATCAGGATCAGAGCTACTTTCATCCACTTCATCCTCACTATCTTCTATTTCCTCTATATATTCTTCTTCCTCCTCTTCTAAGTCTTCGACGGGCTACACATAGAGAAAATAAAAAAATAGGATTGTGTTTATTAAAAAAATAAATTAATTAAAATTTCATTTATGAGGAGTGCAAATTGTACAAGTTCAAAATGTGCTGCAAAATAATGTGAACATGTGCCATGATTTAAAAAAAAGCCGCCAATATTTTTTTGTTTTCTTTAAGAACGAACATCAGTAAAACATGTAAGTACGAGTGAGATGTGAATGTTGTTCTTCTTTCCTTAAACCCCTTAACAAATTTGTGTGTGGGGGATATACAAAAAAAGATTTGTGCTCTAACTTTCATCACGAACCGAACCGAATTGGATGGATGTTGTTTTTTTACCATAAACCTTGAAAACATTAGGGTGCAGTGGATGGAAATAATGCTTACTTAATGGTTCGGAAAACAAATATATAAATTTTATCACGAATTACGTTCGGGCTATAGGAAAATATTATTATTTTTTAAATACCATTAACCTTAAATAGATATGTATGTGACTCCTAGCTCCAATTATTCGTGTGAAGATTTTGATATTAGTGTTTTTTTAATTTTGTTTAAGAACAAAAACATATTCTTACCAGGAATTATTTGTATGCTGGTATTTTTTTAAATGCTGTGAAATGCCATAAAGACAAGAGTATACATTTGTTCGTTTGTCCAGATTATTTATGATGGAATTGGAGAAAATAATCTGAAGAAAAAATTATGAAGGTCAAACATTAATATTTAACCATATGTTGGGAGGAACTCCATAAGGATTTTTTTTTTTAATTAGTCAAAACAAATAGAAAATTATTATTTTTTTATAATTTTTCAATGGGCTTAATGGCCTGCTCAGTCAGAGGATAGTATTGCAGGCACGGACCTGCAATAACTTGAGGACTATTAGGAGGTCAAATGTAAAATAAATAATATACCCTGGCCTGCACATAAAAAACGTCTTTAATTTTGATAATACCTTGGTTATTGAAAATGCTTCAGCAAATACGTCACGATCCAGTCAGTCACGATCCATTTACGTTGTTTTAAACGTCAAGGCTCATTTTCCCAACTAAAAAATAACTGTAATGTGACATTCAGTATTGCTGGTGAATTTGCAACAAATATTAAAATAGGTTCATGTTTTGACATAGTTCCTATATAAAAGTCCCTGTTCTTTTTTTGTATCTTAATAGGCGTACCTTCCCACAAGAGTGTTTTTAATTTGGTATATCGGATCTTTGGTGATAGAAGAATCATTCTAGTATTTTTTTATACCCTCCACCATAGTATGGAGAGTATATTAGTTTTGTTTTTCCGTTTGTAACACACCGTAATAATCATTTCCGACCCTATAAAGTATATATTCTTGATCAGCGTAAACATGCTGACGATATAGCCATGTCCGTCCGTCCGTATGTCTGTTGTAATCACGTTCTGAAGGAATTGAGATAGGCATAGCTCCCATATAACGGTACCCCCCAATTTCCAGTATTTTACGGTTCTTGAGCGCGTTTTTCAAACGAATTCGCTGAAATTTGGTACATTGGTTTCCTATTGGGTACTCTAAATGTCCCCTACCAAAAATTATAAATATAGGTCCACTTTTTCTGGTAGCCCCCATATAACGGTACCTCTTAATTTTCAGTATTTTGGGTTTTTTATCGTATTTTTCCACCGAATTGACCATAATTTAGTATTTTGAGTTCTTAATAGCCAAATCTCTCCACAAAAAATTATAAATATAGGTCAATTTTTTCGTATAGCCCCCCATATAAGGGTACCCCCATTTTTCGGTATTTTGGGGTTATTGAGCGCGTTTTTCTACCGAATTCGCTGTAATATATATGAACTATAACCCGCATTTAGGCCTAGCCCCTGTGTGGGAGGTACCAGAAGAAATGGACCGATATTCCCCCATCTTCGAACTTGAACTAAGTTTTGAAGTAATAATAAGATGGGCAAAGTTTGGATGAAATCAAAATTTTTTAAACAAATTTGGCCCAAAGAAACATGAGGTCTAGAACCAATATTTCGATGTGACACATTTTAACAGTGTCAAAGTGTATACACCCTCATTGGCCATACGGCTGAGGGTATAATTATCAATTTTAATTAATTTATATATATATATATATATATATATAATGAGTGTGTTTACCCCATATCACGTTTCTTATGGAAAAATATCAGAACCTTATTAACTAAGCTCTGGACTTTGCACACTAAAAATAAAATGAAAAACCCTATTTATTCTCTTCGATCCCTTCTAACGAACGAATATAAATAGATAACACTTGAGTTATTTTTTGCATAAAAAAGTATTATTATATTCTTATTTTTTTCTAATTGTTACTGACAAGAATATTGTGCGTCAATGGAATTGCATAAGCTATCTATATCTTAGAGAATATAATAAACGTTTCTGTGAAATTTATCTATTATTTGTTTTTATTATCAATATACTCTAATTTGTTTACATTATTGTTTTTTATCAAATACGTTTACGTTTGCATAAGGTTTTGTTGTTGTATCGATACTTTAAAGATATCGACGTGTTTTGAAAAAAAAATGTAGAGAAAAGATAGTTATTTAAATAGTTGGGAAACTTCTACACTACACAACCCGGAAGAAAATTGTAAAAGACAGACATGATAAGTTAAAGTTGTGTTAAAAAATAGTTTAAAAAAGAGATAAGAAAAGTGACATTCACAAAATCTATAAAAAATTAATTTAGCAAGTCTACAAGGAGAGGCTCCTTTCAGTTTTGTCTATAAAAGCTTCCTTCAGCTCGTCTATAAAGACTTACTTCCGACTGTCTTTAGAAATTGCCTTCAGTTTGTGAATAAACTTCGACTAGCACGTCTATGAAAGACTACCCTCAGTTCGTCTATAGACTTCCATCACTTCACCTATAGAATACCTTCAGTTCGTCTATGAAAGATTCCCTTCAGCTCGCATATCAAGAACTCCCTTCAGCTCCCCTATAAAAAGACTACCTTCAGCTCGCCTATCAAAGATTCCTTTCAGCTCGTCTATAGAGACTCCCTTCGGCCCGCCTATGAAAGACTACCTAAAGCTCGTCTATCGAAGACTTCCTTCAGCTGGTCTATCAAAAACTGCCCTTAGTTCCTTCAGCTCATCTATTAAGACGTCCACTCCCTGCAGTTCTTTAAAACCTATAAAAACTCTTTCAAAGACACTTTGAAAGATTCCCTTCAACTCGCCTTTGAAAGACTCCTACCTTCAGCTCGTCTATGAAAGACTCTCTTTAGCACTTATGCAAAAGGCTCCGTTCGGCTCGCCTATGAAAAACTCCCTTCAGATCGCCTATGAAAAACTCCCTACAGCTCGTCTATGAAAGACTCCCTTCGGTTCGCCTATGAAAGACTCCCTCCTCAGCTCATACTTAACAACTCCCTTCTTCATCATGTTAAATTTCTATTATTAATATCACCAATACCAAAATATTTATAAATAAAAAAAAATTATATCCAAAAATACGATCTTAAACAAATATCGTAAAAATCTATACAACAAAAAACAAAAATTATGTGTTTATGATTGAGGGTGTGAGCAATGTAAACACCGCGATGTTCTTTATGGATATGCAAATGAATTATGGCAACAAGTCGCTTTGATGAGACGAACCACAAAAATTATGACAGAAAAAAGCAAATAACACCATGTTAATTGAAGTGAAACGCAAAAAAAAAAAGCATGAAACAACACTTTTCTGTTTCTTTTGTTAAAATACTCACATCTTCTTCTTCTTCGCGTTGTTCTATTCACCGCATGATGTCGGAGAATTTTGTAAAAACTGACAAAAGCTATGGAAGATAACAACAAGTCCGGATAGTATTGGAGGGGATAGAGTATAGAGAATAGGAGGTGGTGGATAGTGCAGCAATAGGAAGAAAGGAAAATAAGAAAAACGGAAAGGTAATTGCAAAAGAATAATAAGAAAAAGAAAAGAGATACTACAAATTAGTTTCCATATATATTTAGAGATGCGTATTTAGTTTTCTTTGGTTTGTTTTTTATTATCTATAAAAGGTTATATTATTTTGTTTATCATTTCCTTCTTCTTTCACAGACATATTCTACCAATGCACTTACTAACATTCAAAAACAAACACATATAAACAATAATATTTACCTTGGCCGATGACTTGACTTTCTTTTTGGCGGGCAATGGCGCTGCCGCCGCCTGCTGATTTAATTCCCTTAGCTGTTTGTAATTTTCCAGCTCGATCATTAGCGATTCGATTTTCTTTTGCTGCTCCTCTTGCAATTTCAAGCGTTCTACCTGTTCTGGTGTTAGAGCCAATGCAATCTTCTCCTCATACTCGGCAATGGCTTCTGCGTGTTCTAACTTCAGTTGTTTAATGGTCTTATTGGCCTCGTTACAACGGTCATCGGCAGCATGCAGTTGTGAGCGCAAATCTTCGAGAGCCAGCGAATGTTCACGTCTCAGTTCGACCAGCGATTTGATCAAATGCTTGAACACAGCCCGGGCCTCGGCAACGCTTTGGACACTATCCGTTAGCGTTTGTATTAGTTTGTCGACATCGTTAGCGCATACCTTCTGCTGGAGGTCGGAGATTTGGGCGTTTCGCATATCCAGTTCCTCCTGCATGGTGGCAATTTCCAAAGCGGCCTGAGAGTGAGGCTCGGGGGGAGGTTGTTGTTTTTGCAACTCTCCCAAACGACTGCTAATTATGCCACGATCATCCATTAATTGTTCAAGTGTACGTTCAGCATCAATAAGGGATATAATTACCTCTAGTTCGCGCTCAACGCATGCTATGACCTGGTCAATCTTCACGGAAGCAGCGTTGGCGTCTTTGGCGGATTGTAGCTTTTGTCGCTGGGTTTGGGCCACCTTTTGTCTTTCGAGAGCATCTTTGAGTCTACAGAAAGAGAGAGGGAGGGAAAGGTAACAAAATGCACAGACATCAAACAAGGGGAGTGGTGTGGGTGGGAATGGGTACTGCAAAGAAACGAAACACAAGGTGGAAGGGTGGGTTTGGGTTGTATGACACTTACCTCTTATTTATGGCCATGGCTTCTTCACATTTCCGCTTCAAGACATTACGCTGCTTATTGTGCAGGGCCTCCTTGCGAGCCATTTCATTTTGCATTTTACGATCTTTGTTCCTTAGTTGCATCAGTTCCTTTTCACGCATCATTTTGAATTGCCTAAAGTTTTCGGACTCTTGACGCATTGCCCTTATCAGCTTAACCTTAGACTCTTTCATGGCTTGAATTTCGGAACTGAGATTCTTAATCTTCTGGGTTTCTTTTTCGCGTATCTTCAAGAGTTTGGCTTGTTGGAGATTTTTACGTTTCATTTCTCCGATTTCTTGTTCCAAGGCCTGCAAACGTTTACGCCGCTCCTCCGCTAATTTGGCTGAGGCATTCTCCTTCACATGCTTCAGTTTATCCAACAGCTCAGCCTTTTCATTTTCCAATTCGGCAATTTTCTGTTCGCATTCTTTGACCTTCTCCTCAATGTCATCATCCAATGTGGAAAATTTACTGAAATTACCGGCCATGCGTTGTTGCAACTGTTCTTTTAGGGTAAGTTCGCGATTGATGCGTCTCAGCTGTTCATTGATTTCCATTTGTTTGTTCGTAAATGCCTCGGTGCGTTCCTGTACCAATGCATGCATTTCCGAAGACGAGGCGAGGGAGCCATCAGCATCCTCGTGATCACCATCCGAATCTCCCATCGAGGAGGGTTTCTTGTGCTCCATTATTTCCGTTTGGGTCTTCGCCAACTCCTCATCCAGACTCTCGACCATTTTACTAATACACATTACCGTCTCCATTAGCTTCTCCTCGTCCATGGAATGATCTTTACATTTCATGGACACTTCATGGAAATATGATTTCATTTCATCGGTTTTGGCCTTCAGTGTGTCATGGGCAGCCTCAGCGATGTGAGCACGCATTTCATGCTCTGTTACATCGTGCAGGGTCATCTGCCACTGCTGTTGCAGTGTGCGATATTTGTCTTGCAGTTCTTTATATTTTCTATTCTGTTCTTCGGAAGGCATAATGGCGGGCATGGAGGAGGCCATTAGTGGTACAACGGGAGGGGTGACGGTTTCCAATTCCGTTGTCAATGAACTTGTCATTGTGCCGCCTTTAGTTAGCAGTTCCAAACGTAACTTTTGTATAATACCCTTGAGGCGATTAATTTCGGCGGCATGAGGATCTTGATTGACAATAGGTTTATTTTTAATTTTGCGTGCACGATCAGCATAACGAAGGGTACTTAGAGTTTCCGCGACATTGTAGTCGGCCGGTGATACACAGGCAATCATTAGGGTTACGGAATTGCCACCAAGTGAATCTTGTAGAAGGCGAGTTAATTTCGAATCACGATAGCGTACAAAGCCAGCACCTTTGCCATCTATGTCGATGATGATGAATTGAACATGGCGGAGAAAGGAAGAAAACAAACACAAGGATAAATTAGTAATGCGTTAGTTGGTTGTTGTAATAAAAATGCAATGTTAATAGGTTGATTGGGTGGTTGTGACAACAAGTGAGGTAATTTTAATATTCCCTATATTCCAAATTGTTTGTATCAATTTCCCTGTATCTAATTGCAAAATAATTATTGTCTACCATGCAATTATGTTTGCAATAACCAGTGAAGTAGAAAAACAAGTAATATGATGAATGAAATTATAAATATAAAAATTTGCATGATCACTTCGAAGTGTAGAAAAAAAGAGATTTAAAAAAAGTGAATATCATTTTCACTGATTTCAAAAAAAAAGTGATCAAAAACAAAACGAGCAATGAAAAAAACAGAAACTACTGCTCAATTCGTCATACAACAATTATTTCCAAATTTGTTGATGTGTAACAAAACGAACGAAACAACAACTAACCAACCATCCATATTATTGAGCATTTTTCCATTGTTTTTAACTAATTTCAAAGTAAATTAAAGTTTGGAAACCGGTCTATCGGTCGCTTTACTATTGCATGTTTGTGAAAACAAAAATTGTTTATATATTTTTTATTATTTTGTGCATTTGTTTTTTTTTTTAATTTCATTGTTTACGTCAATGTACAAAGTGTACAAGTGCGGGCACACACACAAATAAAAACCAGTGATTGTAAAATCTCTGAAGCGTAACGACGATGAGCAACAGCAAATGAACGGACCGTCAAAATAGTAGTGATGTACGTACCCCCCCTATGCCTCCTATTTGGATCGTCGTCATCGTCATCATAGTCTTTGCAGAGTAATGAAAGTGTTGTAAATACAACTACAATGGTACAGTATTGCAACAAATTTTAGTATATAGATTAAGTAAAAGAAATGGGAATTTCGTTATTATTATTATTTTTTTTTTTGTGGAAGTGATAATTAGAGCCAGGTAATAAAATTCAGTCGCCTGGTTTATTTCCATCGTAGAAACGGAACAGTCAGTCTTGCAGATGGATATATGACGACGAGAGGAAAGGGAATATATTATAGACCAGTACAAACAGACAGTAGGGAAAGGGGGTAGGTCTTTATATACGAGCTACAGGGAGCTGCTATAAACGGACTGAAAGACGTCATTATAGAAGATCTGATGCAGAAGTCTTTAAAGACAAAAAAACTAAAGGGGGTCTTTATAGACAGACGTGTTATAAGGAATCTTCATAACTTGCTGAAGGAAGTCTTTATAGACGATATGAAAAGAGTATCTATAGTGTAACATAAAGCTATATTTATAGTCCTGCTAGGAGTCCTGAAGGGAGCATCTAAAAACGAGATGAAATAGGAAAGTTTTATATACAACCTGGAGACAGTTATTATAGATGGTGTTTATAGACAAACTGGAGGGAGTCCTAAAAGGCAACCTAAGGTATCCTTTATGGGTAAGTTCTCTTTTAATCGAACTGGGGAAAGTCTATAGTAGACAGTAGAGCTGAAAGGAGTCCATTAAAAATGAGCTGAGTTATTATAGACGAGCTAAAATACGGAAGACTTCGGAGATCGTTGAACCGGTGACTATCTTTGTGGATAGTCAAGCGGCTCTTAAAGCCATCAAATCCTGTTACATCAAATCTGAGGCAGTTTTGGAAGAATTTACAGCTATCGGCTGTGTTGGGTACCAGGACACCATGGATAATTAAAGAGCACAATTAGCTAGACGAAGATCTCAACCTACTGATCTAGTAATTGATGGTTCAATCTAACCACCCATATGTCATCTTTATCGGAACTTTGAGGCGTTCTTCGACGAAAGAGCCTATGAACTTTGGCGCAACGAACCTAGGTGCAATGTGTCAAGATCTATTTGGCCGACTCTGTCTACCAAAAGGACACACTCACTGATGAAGCTGAGCAAAGCTGAAATAAGAGTAATGACAGGAATCATTACTGATCATTGCAATATCAGGGCCTTTAAATGGGACCATGATACTACTTATTACTGTAGACTCTGCATTGACGGGGAGTAGGCTGTCAGGCCTACAGACAGCACAGACTAGTTTTTAGAAACCTAAAGTGGTTATTAGAAACCTAAAGTGGTTAGGAAAGTCCATTCTTCACACATATCTTCTTTCCGATCTTTATACCCATCGATACTATATCATAACTACCTTCTCACACTTCCTTATAAGCTTCTCATCTCTCTCTCTCTATCCCCCCTTCTTTTCTACCCGCCATAGATCTCTCCATATCTGTTTCTTTTCGTGGATGATCACAATGGACCTGACGGTCTCAGAGTGCTGCAGCCACATAAGTGACCCAAACCTAAACTACGGGAGTCTTTAGGGACGGCCAGAAGGCGTTAAATTTTATATTCGGATGCTAAGGCGTTTAGTCAAATCCCCATCACCGCGTAAAATATGTAATGTTCTGCATATAATAATGGCCTCTAGAGCGACTACAAAACAGGACAAAAAAGTTCATTGTACACCTAATAAATATCATCTCAATATTACCGAAAATTATTGGCAGCATCCTTGACCATAAACGGAACTTCATGTAAAATTTGGAAATCAATCAGCGCCCTCTAGTGGGGTAGTAGTAATATTGAACAATATCATAACACGTATAACTCAAATATCCGACTACATACGACATTATAATTTGTATCAATTTAAAGGTGAACCACTCCTCTTGGAGATACTATAAACTTCTGGGATCTATGTCCTTCAGGAGCAAATATATACGCCCCAGAAATACAAATTTTGAAATTTTCACACAAAAGTCTGGGTTTTTTTACCCCCTTAATATTGTCCGATCTTCATGAAAAAAACAGTCATTGTTATTTCTTTGGCCAGATTTCCTTCTTGGTGTAAAATTTCGTTGTGTTCGGCGCATAATTGTGGCCTCTAGAGCGACAAAAAGAGAAAAATAAAGCTTTTTATTTATTTTATTTATATATTTCATAGTGCCCAGTCTTTCCACCTTAAGGCTGTAAGCTTAAATGTAAAAGGGAGGGATATTGAACTACTAAAGAATATTATACCTATTAAATTACAAAAATGATTAAAAAATGTGATTAATTGGATTATGACTACTCCATTTCATCCCCTAAATATTAACCGAGCATTACCAAGAAACAATAGGGGCCTTTTTGGGCCAGAATCCGTCCTACATGGCCCATAACTGTGACCTCTATCGTGTTTACATACAAATTATATGCTGATCAAGAACGGAGGTTGTTCCTCGACAACGTTGATGTGTGAATTACTAAATTTGTACACCCAACAAGCAAGGGTGGACGATATTAAATCATAACTATCAAATCTGAACTGGGTATTTTCACAGAAGCTCTGATAATTTCAAAACTAAATATGCTACATAACCCAAACCTAGCTGTTTAAGTTCATCAAGTAGTGAGAGGAGCGGAAATATTTTTATTTCAATTCAATTGAGGCAAAAAAAAAAAAATTGTGTGAAATGATGCAACAAAGATTTGTGCGCTCCCTATTCCATTGACATGATGATGTCTTTGACATTTTAATAAAACAATTTAATGAATGTTTTATTTTTGTTTTTATATAATAACATTGACAACCAGTAGTAGCGGGCACAAAAAATGATTTGTAATGGTTTTTTTAATGACAGTAGACAAAAACTTTTGTGAAACTAATACTATTCAATTCCCGCTCTGTCAATTCCCGCATAGTCAGATTTAAGTTAATTAAAATTTCACCTAGGAAGGTCGGACTTGAAATGACCGAATGATAAATGAGTTCCCAAGCAGCTGATTTTTCACCAGGTGAAATTTTAGTTCATTTTTATCTGTTCATTCTAAAAATCCATATTTGATTCACATCATGGATTTGTAGGGACAACAACTATCTGCCTCGCATGTGTGGGTATAGGGGATTTAAAATAAATTTCAATTCATGGGTTATAATTACGTCAATGAGAGTGTGTCGTGAATGCAATAATGATCCATTCTAATCCTACGTTCCAAGAATGTTCAGCCGTGAGTATAATGAGCTGAGAAAGTCATGAATTGTGAATGGCCAAATGTAAATGAATTAATTTTAGTGTGTTGTACATGACAAAATTAATTCAGGTCAAGAGTGATTCAAGTACATTTCATCTTTCAACAGGTAAAAAATGGAATTCATTTTCACCTGTGCGTTCATTGGGAAAATTTCATATATGGCTGCATTTTCAAACAATATGCTGGAATTTTTGAAAAATATATAATTTATTTCGTTCTTCACAATTGAAATCTTGAACAAGTATGGCATGCCAATGAAATCATGTCTTGTTTACATATATGTACACATTTATGTTTTCGTGATATTTTAAATTAGCTACATATTTTGTGTCATAGGTCGTTGTCATTTGAAACCTACAAACAATAGCCATTTATACTCACTTTTGAGCAGGAACACCTGCTCATAGAACATATAACATGAATCCTATTTAAAATTAAATCTAAAAAGGGAAAGGTCAGCTGTTTTTGTAGTAACCATAAACCCGCATGTTGTTAAGAAAACTATTTCAATTGTTCGGTGGCATTGTGAGTGTGTGTGTACAGGAAGAAGGGCATTACATGTTATCATGTGGGTACATCAACATTTTATGCGTGACCATTGGTCTCAAGGGGTTACTTTTCTTTTTGGTGTGCATAACGTAATACAATATATTTTAAATATTTAGAAATAATAGTGAACGTACATCTGTCTTTAAACAAATATTTGAAAGATAATCCATCTGCCTAACACTCATTCACACTTCAAGTGGTTACATTCATAAAAACGATGTTCTGAAAGATGTATCCTGTATTTCAAATCTCGAAATATCATATACCGAATTTTCGTATAAAATTTTTAAAATGTTTAAGAAAGTCGAATGTTATATTCGATAATCTACTTTTATTGGGCTCTGTAAACATTTTTAATAGATTCCTAATATTTTTAATGGGGATTTTCCCTAAAATCTGAAACCTCCAAAACGTGGAGCGATATTGATAGTGCATGGTAGAGTGGAACATGTGTATAAAATCCTCAAACTACTGCAATTTAGAGTATAAAGTTAAAAGAGGCTATGCATAAAAAGGGTTCAATTTTTATCACGATATTCTTTGAAGGCGAAGTGATTACAACAGATGGCTAAATCGTTTTAGAATTTCATACTTTGTATGGTAAAAGCTGAGGAGTAACGAATATCCACCATACTATGGTGGAATATATGGGGACTACCCCTAAAAGGGGGCGAATATTAAGAATTTTTGGGAGGATGATTTGTTACTATATACGACTACAAAATACCAAATTATAGTGAATTCGGTTTAAAAAGGCTCTCAAGAACCCCAAAAATACCGAAAATTTGGGGAGTAACCTTATATGGAGGCTAGCTCAAAAAATAAACCTATATTAATAATTTGCTACCAAATAAGAACTCTAAATATTAAATTACGGCCAATCCTGTCGAAAAATACGATCAAAACTACCAAAAAACTGAAAATTGAGGGTACCGTTTGATGGGATCTGCCAGAAAAAGTGGACCTATATTTTTATAAATTTGGTATCCAATAAGAATCCAATGTACAAAATTTCAGCGACTTCGGTTGAGAAACGCACTCATGAACACAAAAACACCTGAAAATGGAGGCTACCCGAAAATTTTTGTAATTTTTAGTGGAGACATTGGCTACCAAATAAGAACTTTAAGTACTAAATCACAGCCGAAAAACACGATAAAAACTCCCAAATTACTGAAACTTGGGGGTACCGTTAGAAAAAGTGGACCTATATTCATAATTTTTTGTGGAGACATTTAGTACCCAATAGGAACCTAATGTACCAAATTTCAGGGAATTTGGTTAAAAAACGGGCTCAAAAACCCCAAAATATCGACATTGGGGGCGTACCCTTTATGTAGGCAACCCGAAAAATAGACCTATATATTTATAATTTTTAGTGGAGACATCTGCTAAACATTAAATTACAGCCAATACTGAAAATTGGGAGTTCCGTTTTATGGGAGCTACCAGAAAAAAAATTGTCGAATATTTTTATAATTTTTAGTGGATACATTTGGTATACATACAATATGAACCCAATGTACCAAATGTCAGCGAATTTGGTTGAAAAACGCACTCAAGAACTTCAAAATACCGAAAATCGGGGGGTAACCTTATATGGGAGCTATGCCTATACGTGGGCCGATATGTCCCATCTTCGAACTTGACCTACCTGCAGACAAAAGACGACTCTATGCAAATTTTGTTGGCGATCTATCTCAATTCGTTAGAATGATTACAACAGACAGACGGACAGCCTGAGGGACATGCTTAGATCGTCATAGAATTTTAGGCTAATCAAGTATATAAGGTCGATGATATAATGATTATTTCGATGATATAAACGGAAAAAATCAACTTTGGGTATAAAAATCTAAATATACCAAAGGTTGAGTCTTTACAAAAAAAAGAAGAAAATATTACATTTTTTAAATAGAATATATATTTTTTTCAACAATAAAAAAATCTATATTTTGGAAAAAAATCTTTTTTCGGACTTCGAAATAATTTGGAATAAATAATTTTTTTTTAATTATTTGAAATTTATTTTGTTAATATTAAAATAAAATGGATTAAAACAAATCTAGGGAAAAATCGATTCTTCGGACTTTGAGATTATTTCGAATAAATAAAACAATTTTTTAAAAATTATTTATAATATTAAAATAAAATGAATTAAAACAAATCTGGGCCTGTATATCCCATTTAGTAAACGACTCTAAAATCTTGAGTAAGTATATTTAAATACATATACATTTTACACACTTGTGGAAAATTTTTGTTCAAAATACTTGACCGAAATAGCTAAAGAAATTGAAATATTCATTTATTACCATTTCCATTACAAAAACTAAAAACAAAACGAAAAAAAATCAATCACTCACTTAAAGTCCCAACAACAACAAAGAGGAATATATGTCACTCAAAGACGTATATTTGTTGTTATTTCTCTCCAAATATCTTCCAATAATTGAAACATTGCCAAAAAATAAAAATTAAAAAACCTCGAAAAACAACAACAAGAAAAACTTACTGACCCTATAGAAGAAAATTTAAAAATATCCGCACGTTGCCTACCAGAGCGCAAAAAGCCACCGCATACAATTTTGGCAAACTCATTCCCACGCATCTATATGTAGAGAATGGATGTTGATATGTCTTCAGAATTAATATATACGCACGAATGCTAATGTAAATTGCGGTAGAACACCCCTTTTTTTCATTTGGCATAATCAACAACCAAACAACACGTGAGTCATATTAAAAGTGATAGTAGATGCTGCTGGCTGCCTCCTGCTACTAGGCGGCTAAGTTTTTTATGTTATTTTAAACATCACTTTCAAATTTTGAATTTATATATTTGCATTATTAGTAATGACTAACTTATTGGCTAATTAGAATCCCATGAGCCCAAAAATAATAATAAAAAAAAAATAAACCTGTTTTCAATAATTTGCATAGTTTAGAGATGGGATGTTTAAAATTAGCAAACAAGTTGCCATACATCCGATACTAATGCATGAAATAATAGTATTATTTCAAGCGGGTTTCAACCATAACAAATACACAGATATGACAGACAGACAACTAATACCATAACACCACCAAATTAGTCAATATGTATTTTTTGCTATAGTTTAAACAACTGTGTACTAAACTTTTTGAAGGCCATGATGAAGTAATGAATTAAGTAAATTTGTATATAAACGCCAGAGAGTCGAAATAAAAGAAAAGGTGTTCGAACTTATCGGTAGTATTGCTTGCTATTATTATTTAATAAAAAAAAAGCTGAGGAGGAAAAGAATTGGGTGGGAATGTAGAATTCAAAACACTTATTGTTACTATCTACAAAAGATTGTATATTCGTCTCTCTATATATGGTCTTTATCTTTACACCACACACACCGCTTTATCAAGAATAGTCTGTGTGCTGTGTGTGCTCTTTTTAATCTTTCCGCTTCTAAAACAAAAAAAGTTTGCAAAAAAATAATAACTATAATGTGATTTCTGCACCAAGTGTTAATTGGCCAACACAGATTAGAGTTTCTTGTTGTTATTGCATTGTTCCCATATATGGCAACACCTACAATGTCAGGCGGCAATGGTTTCTATTATTTTGCTGCAACGTCAACTAGATAAAAATAACAACAACAACAAAATACCATTAAGTATCTTTATACCATTGAAGTTGTATGACGACTTTGTTTTTAGTTTTTTTTTACTGCAGAATAAAATAGAAATTGCATAGACTTGACACTAGGGTGGAGTCGAATTCATTATAACCTACAATAAATGTTTGAAATTTTAATGGATTTTTATAACGTAACCAACCAAATAGTGGGGATATATTAATATTGTGTGGGCCACGAAATAGATCCACATTTTAAAGTGAAGTCAAACCACAGTTAAGTGATTATCGAAAGATATATAGGTACTTTGGTGCACTATTTACCTAAAACCGGACGAAAACATATATGGGAGCTGTATCTATTATCTGAACCGATTGCCGCTATGCAGTACGCTATGCCAAATTTCGTGCAAATCGAAGGAAATGTAGGGACTTTGGTGCACCATTAACCTTAAATCGAACGAAAATATATATGGGAGCTATATCGAAATCTGAGCCGATTTTCACGAAACTGAGCACACGTCTTTCTAGGCTTAATTTAGTACGATATGACAAATTTTGTGCAAATCGAAAGATATATAGATACTTTGGTGCACCATTTACCTTAAATCGGACGAAAATATATATGGGAGCTATATCTAAATCTGAACCGATTTTCACGAAAATAACTGTTTTCCGCAAATAACTGTTTAAGTTCTTGATAAACATATGAAAAAAATCCTCGTTTATAGCAGATGAAGTCCTTTGAAGAAATATGTTTTTAAATGCAAATTTTTGAAAACTAATTAAATAAGTCGAAATAAATAACCCTTTAAAAATTACTTGGAAAAATACACGCCTTGCTTTATTGAACCCTTTCAATTTTTTTATTTCATAAAAATGTTGAGTTGCTTTGATTTTGGCAAATTAAATGAATTTTCTGTTGCTGATTAAATTTAATTAATATAGGCAATATTGATGTAATTTAAAAAAAAATAAAAAATTAAAAAAAAAACATGACATTGGAGAGATAATTTTGCATCTAATTTTGTCAAATCATTTTCGATTTTAAATCACATTTTGTGACCTTTATTTCAATTTCTAATAATTCAAATCTAAAGATGTTTCAAACTCATGTATAAAGCCTACAATGACTCCCTATAAATAAGGTAGGGAGTAGGTAGTGCTAATCAAAATAATGACGTTTTTTATATTAAACTAAATTGGTTACATACACATCTACACAACGATAACAATTCCACAATTGTTGGTAGGGTAGGGGTAAATGCTAATGAAAATAATGACGATACTATATTTCTTGCCAATAAATTGATTGATTTTCAAAACAATACATTCAAACAAACGAATAAACCAGTTATCAGCTTCCGCATGAATAATACCCACTCGAATAATACACCAAAATATTAGGTGCAGAGTTGTTTCATTGTCTAAGCAAGTTGTTGGTTTTATAGTTTTTTTGTTAGGTGTTAGCAATTTTTATTTACTTAATTTTAAAAACTTACCTCCCAAAGCTGAAATGACATTGCCCAAAGCTAAGAGGCCTTGATTGATTTTAACACCTTCTTTAAAACGGTCGCCGGTGGCTCCGGTCTTCTTGGAACGTTCTGAACCAGCCAAATCGACCAAGTGAAATTTGGAGGTGGTAACAGCGCGTCTGGAAAACAAAAACAAGAAAACAATTGATAAACATTGATGTATATGATGATGATGGCACAAAGACAAAACACAAACACAACAGACACACATACATAGTCTCATATACCAATACACTGACATAACCTCAATTTGTGCAAAAAACAAAAAACACAAACACACGAAAATAAGGCAGCACAAATAATAAATTTTAAAAACAACAAACAGATAAGAAAACAGACAAGAAACAACAACTACAATACAAATTAATAATAAATAAATAATACTTACGATTCATCTTTTTTGGTTGCTTGCAGGGTAACGGTAAATATAGCATGCGACCGGGACGAAGCTTCGTTCATGGCTGTCGATGCCACTGCCCGACCCGATGAACCACGCACCAAACAATCGGTTGTTTCCTTGGCCGAGTGAACCTGTTGCTCAGTCAGACCAACCATAATTATTCCGCTGCGGTCTTCACGCATATCTACTATGCTTTCATCACGCGGTCTATTCGACAGTAAATCGAACAATTGTTCCTGATACAACTCCATGAAGGAACATTTAATCACAAAGTCATATTGATCGGAAAGATTTTTTATCCTTTCGAAAATATCGTGCATAGCACGGGGTATCACACCGACATTCTCATCCAATTCACCGTCGAATGCCGTGCCCATGGTATGGGTCTTACCAGAACCAGTCTGGCCATAAGCCAATATTGTGGCATTGAAACCACTGAACAATTTATCTAACATATCCGACACAGACATATTGTACACATGCTCCTGGGTGTCACGCCAATCGAAGACGAAATTAAACGAGAAGGCATCACTGTTGTTCACCACCACCTGATCTTGGCCATCGACTTTTTCCACAGCCACTTGACAGCCGCGATTGACCTCCGATGGCACCAAGGGACGTACCCTCAAAGCCACCCGAACACTTTCCAAATCACCCATGTTCGAATTGATAGCGGTGTTGCTATTGTGTTGTCGTTGTTGTACGCCGCCTATAATTGGCAAGATTGGCTAAGTGGGTTTTTGGTACGTTGTTGTGCGAACGTTACGACCTGTAAATTGTTGAAAAATGAAAAGTAAAAAAACACGGCAATCAATAAAAAGCCCTTGTAATTTTTGTTTCTTTCATTTTGACTTACCCTTCCTCTGCTATAATTTGCTGTTTTGCGTGCCACTACTATTCGGTTGGTGATGGTGGTGGCTAATAGTTTTCTTTTTGTGTGCTGCTCTTGCCCTGAGGCTGCTGTGCGGATGGTTGGATGGATGGAGGAGACAAAAAATCTTCTCTGCCGTGTGTGTGCGAAACAACTTACAAAACACTAATGACACTTTTGATGTGACATCGACACCTCTTTATAAAGATAACACACAAATATTTCACTTTTGTAAATTTTCTTTAAAATTTTTATTATTTTTGGACAAAAGCAGGTAAAACACACAACATGTATATGATGGAGGAGGAAGACGCGACACAAATTCTTACATTACAACAATAAAAACATTAAGCGGGGTTTTCAATAAAAACACATACGCGGAATTTCCTTTTCTTTTAATTGACGCTTTCCACGAATTAAACAAACAACAACAAAATGGCGGCGTGCGAGCGTATAATGTGTAAAGGAATTTTGGTAAAAACTTTTCCAAACAACAACAATTTTCTTCACTTGGGGTTTGCAACAATTTGATAGATAAGTAAGGTACGTTGTGGATTCCCGCTGCGTGTGTGTTTGCCCGTAACAATCGTCGCGGCTTTGAACCGTTTGAATTCAAATGAAAAACCTGACACAAAAGAGAATCGTAAATGACGTACAGTGTTGTATTTGTGTTATAGCAAATGACAGGCCATGCAGCACTGTTGTTTACATTGGGGAAAAACATGAATGTAGAACGAACAAATTTTATAGAAATTTAAATAATTAATACTGGGTAATTATTTAATTTATAAAAATTAAAAAATATATATTTCACATCTTTATTGTATGGCCAAGAATATATATTTAATATCAATTTAAAGCCAATCATTTTATTTCTTCTATTTGCAATTCACTGACAATGGATAACACGTGTAAGTACAGCCCTGTTGTTTACACTGGGAAAAATGAATGTTAAAAAATGGTAAACTGGTAAAATGGAACTTTGTGATGGAATTCAGCAAATGACAAAAATTCCGATATTTCCATTTATATACAATTAGTGGATTTCCATTTCTTCTATATTTTTAATTCCTTAACAATTGATAACACATGACATGTGAGTAGTCTTGTTTGGCTACTTTCCATGTAAAATCAAGCAAGGGATTATAAAAAATTAAAAAAAGTTCAGTTATTTCTAAATTTAGCAACTGATGGAAATTCCGATATTATCATTTGTTATTATTTACCGAAATATGTCGTAAGAACATGATTTAAATTAAGTAGACGCTAATTCCAACCGATTAAAATAATAACGCTACCTAAAGGCGAATACACACTATACGTTTTAAATAACAGCAATTTCTGCATTATTGAGATCTCAAAAGCGTACTGTACACAACATTTTGTCGCAGGTAACCCCAAGTCTACAAACGACAGGACAGTCGAAGACTGCGAAGGCGTTCAGAAAGTTTGAAAATTTAAATTTAAATGTAGGAAAATAATAATTTTATTAATTTTTCATCATATGATTTTTCGATTATTTTTATGCTTAATATAATTTTTTATTATTTGAAACTGAAATGTTATTAATTGTCCATATTTACTGTTAATAAAAGCTTCAAGACAGTCTCTAGATATGGTAGTAAAAATGGTTTGCATCTTTGCTATTGTCTACACAAAAAAGTCTTTTGTTCTCTAAAGGGCTAAACAGAATGTTCGCGTTGAGCGTTTTTTGTTATCGCGTTAACGCACGCAAAAAGTTAAAATATATTTAACTCCGAAGCGCAGCGCACATCAACTTCGAGCGTTTGTGTTATCGTTTTCTTGTGGTTGTTGTATTTTCGATAACATATAACGAGACAGATGGCTCAACGCGAGCATTCTGCTTAACCCTTCAGAGCGGGCCACATGCGTCAAACATGTGTGAATCGAAATTAAAAATGAGCAAAAATGCGTGTTCAAAAAATGTTTTGAAAACATTTTTTAAGATTTTTATATCCAAATTTTTCAAATTTTCTGGCCGCCTACGTCACAAAGACAATTTTTAATTTTTTGACAATTAATACGTGAACTCAATAGCCCTCGACAGTCCTATCGCTGTAAACGCAGGGTAACATAAAATTAATATAATATTAGAGTCAATCTTGATTTTGGACGCCGATCTTCTTTATTCTCTTTTATATTAAACAAATCAGATTTAATAAGGTGGGCGCATTTGTAGCAGAATTCAGCAAACAGCTGTTGCAATATTGGTATGTAAAAATATTTTCAAAAAAATCGATTCATAATTTTTTTACACAAATTAATTAAAAAAATAACAATAAATGAATTTTTAATAGTTTTCCTATATTGTAAAAGGAAATTTGTTGTAGTAAATTCTTGCCGGAACAGCATTTTTTGGTTTTTGACGGTAATACAGGTAATATTGTTCTCTGGGATCAGGTAAAAGTTAAATTTGTTGAGTTATAAACAAAAATAAAAATTATATTATCATTCATAATTTTTTTTATTAGCATGTCATAAAGAAGTTATAAAATTAATATGCAATTATCATTATTTTTTATTGACGGTGTTGTATGAAAACACAATTCACTGTTCCGGTAAATTTTAATAATATAGCTGTACAGTACAAAAAACCAATATTATAAAGGGAAAATTGTTATTGTAGTAAAAATTGTAGATTCTTCCATTACGGAAACAGGCCATTAAAAATTAGAAGAAAATTATAAAAATAAACGCTAAGTCTTGATTTAGATTAGGCGAGTTTACTTGCGGCAAGTCTTTGTTTGTAGGAGAGAGGGGCAAGGGGTATAGAAATGAAAAAAATTGCTCGTACCGACAATTTTCTGGCAATTCGTTTTGTGTATTTCGTATTTGCGTGGTTTTATATTTGTGACATTTTATATATATTTAAAGTGAAAAAAAAACAAATAAAAAATATTTTGGAAACCGAATTGCCTTGTATAGACGCATGGAGCAAGTTCAAAAGAGAACGATAAAAATTGCCGCAAGTAAACTCGCCTAATATAAATCAGGACTAAAGGAACAAATACATGCGTTTTAACGCGTGAAACTAGCGTTTTCTTTATTTATGATTGATATTGAGTAGGCAACACTGATCATATGACAATGACAGCTGTATGACGCGCCAACATTTCTTTTCATTTTCTATTTTTTAACTTTGTCACGCACGCACACGAAAAATCTTAAAGAATAATTAAAAAATACACGGATAAAATGTAAGATTTTTATAAAATAGTGAAGATTTAAAGAAAATTGAAAACCCAAGGAATAATTATATGTGGAAAATACAATAAAAGCAATTAAACTATTTAATTTCATCTGTAGAATAAAATTACTTTGGTGTGAAAAAATTCAACGTATTTTTGGCTTTGTGTTAGTGAATGCATGTGGGCAATAGTGTGTGTGTGCACGTATGTGAGTAAATGCATGTGTGTAATGTTATTAAAAATAATTAAAAACTATAAAAAATCAGGTAATATGAATGTGATTCTTATGATTATAAGGGCAAAATCTGGCTAGGTAGCCGGGAAGAAGTTTAACTTGCCTTAATCTATACGAAGGATTTCATTGATTTCCAGATATTTTTACCTAACGCACTCGTTAGCGCTCTCTCTCTTCCTCAACATTAAGGGGTGTTTTTGTGTTGTTGTTGTTTACATTACCTTTGTTCATTTTTTCTCTCTTTGCATTTCTCTTGGTTTTGTTGTTTCTGACATCAGTGTGACAGTCAATAGCAGATAGCAGCTGAGGTGGTTTGGTGTTCGTTCGTTCTTATTGTTTTCTATTTGAGGTGTGAAGTGTTGGCAGCTGCTGCAGTTTTCTTTTTGATATTTTAAGAAAAATTTAATCGAAATACTATTGGAATTACACAATAAATATATATTTTGCTAAATATATAACCCGTCGATGAAGTAAAACAAGAAAAAAACTTCGGTATTTCAGTCTAAACATTTCTACACAACAAAACGCACACACGGCCGGTTTGTTATACCAAAGCCAACAAACAGCAGCATGGAAGGTTAGTTTTTGTCTTTTTTACTATCTGCTTCCGAACGACACATTTATTGTTTCTTTTTTCTTATAGTTCACCGCATGAATTCTGGAGGAGCTGCTGAGGTACGTGAAGTTCTAGCCAAATATCTGGAATTATTTCAACAGAGCAGCATTGATTTTAAATATCATCTGGCTCCCAATAGTGTAATCGATTGGTATGGCCGAACTGTGCGTGGTGCCAATAAAATTCATGATTATTTAAGGTAGGTCGTGTGATGTTATAATATAGAGTATATTGTGGAATATAATGCATTTATTGAAAGTAGATTTAGATTTGAAGAAACATTATTTGTGATTAAGCGAGCGGGTGAACCAAAATTTTTCAAATAATTATCAAATGTAATGTGTTGAAATTTGATGTAATTTTTCTTTGTCTATCAATCTATGGAGATAAGAGATTATTACTGCAGCATTATCATTGTTTGGAGAATTTTATAAGAAATCTGACCGCTTTGTAAATTTGTAGAGATTTGTACCTCATTCAATGCTTGTGAAAAGATTACTCCAAGGACTAAATAGGGAATTAGGGATTTCTTTTGATAATGAAAAATGTAATTAAGGTCGAAAGACTGGCCATATGGAATATAAATTGAAATGAAGCTACGGATCAATGGCTATTATATTCCGGAAAAGTTTTCAACAAGTTGGTCGATACCATGTTGACCACTCGTGAAGCAATATATCATAAAGAAAACTAAAACTATGCGGCGCCAGTGTGGAATTCTAAATATATAAATATGCATTGGAAAAGAGAACACCCTGAATGCTGCCTGGGCTTTGTTTCAGGATATTATTTGATACCGGATCACGACAAAAATAATGGAATAATATTGACCGCTACTGCCGGATACATTACACATAAATTTCTACCAAAGCAAGCTCGTCAGGAGAGATGTCCATGCTCTACATATATAGTTCCAAATAAATATAAACCTTCATTGTCAGGTTTATGACAAGTAATATCAGCTACAATATCATGGGCTAAGCATTGCATCATCACTCTGGCCGCCAAGCGACATATCCCAGCATGATTATCTGGCAATATCAACCAACACAGTCCTGAAAAATGGGTAGAACACTTAAATAATTGCGAAGTTGGTTCGCATAAACTTTGGTCTACCATAAAAAGTCTTTCTGGAACAAATAACAAAACAGGTAATATAGCCATAACCTTTAAGGATATCCAACAAACTGATGCCAAAAAATGTGCAACAAATTCTGCCAGCAATTAATTGTTCATCCTACTCAGCAGAACCGCACCTTCAGAGCTACCTTGAGAAGATTTAAGTAGCTCCAACGTGAGACGAATCCTTGCACCTTCTCAGCCTTAGAAGATCAGGCCATAATATCGACGGCAAAAGCTTCTAAAGCCCATGGTCCGGATGGCATCTCTATGGTCATGCTAAAGCATATCGGCCCAATACCCTTGGATTATCTAGCAATAATGCTATCTCAATCGGTAAACTCACTAGTAGTCCCAGAGATCTGGAAGGTTGCCAGAATAATCCCACTTCCAAAATCAGAAAAAACAGCTCATCTAGGAGAATCATACCGCCCTATCTGCCTCTTATCACCTGTAGCTAAAGTTTTGGAAGCACTGACCACAAGCACGGATTCCGCAAAGCACGCAGTACTACAACAGCGCTAAATGATATCACAACATGCATTGCAAATGGCATCAACCAATCAGTGACACTGAAAAGCGCCTTTCCAGATCCACTAAAACAACTCTAGCTCAATTTAGATCAGGTTGGAGCACCATTCTAAATAATTATCAATCACGAATTATTTGTAGGACATGTGAAACAGTGCCCAAACTGTCACAGCACTCTCCATGACACAAATCACTTATTTTCTTGCCCAGTCAGGCCCACAGATTTGCGCCCTGTGGAACAGCAGAACTGTTACAACAATAACAAAGGCAACTGAGAGATCATATAATAACGAGATGTGGCCTTTGCAATGTATATTGGGCATGAACCCAATTCATTGTGTTCACAGTCGGTGAATAATCTGAATTTGAAAGCAGAAGATCTGGAACTGAATTAAAAAATAGACTGCGTACTTATGTATTTCTATTGAATTCCAAAACGCTAGGTCGCCGAGAATTAAATAACGCTGGGAATTCTTGTTAAATCTCTCAACGCATCTTGCAGATGCGTAGATATATGATTTACGACCAAGAAGCTCATTTACTGACAGAAGACCTCGAATCTGTCTCAATCTATATAATAATTAAATAAGGGATTTTATTTCTAGAAGACATGATAATATGTTTAGTCCCTTTAAAAGCCTTTTTATGAGATGCTTTAAGGGCTTCTTTTGAAAACATCTAAAAATTCATTATCTATAGAAATGCTATGCAACGAAAAAAGTCTTTAGCAAGATCTCCTTAACGATACAATTTGTGATATAAATGTTCTTATAAAAACAATTTATTTTCTTTATTTCAGACATGAAGTTAACAATCAATTTGAACATATCGAATTTCGGAATGCTGAGGTATGCAGTCCAATTGAAACAAAAACCAGTCACATGCGCACGTAAGATATTTCCACTATCAAAATTCCAAAATTTTACAAAACTATGTTTTCTTTCTCTTCCAACAGAAAAGTGATTTCCACCAAACCCATTGATCATATACATCCCATTAATCGGTTACCAGATATGGTACCATTAAAATCCTATGCCGATAGTGATGTGGAGGACAATGAACAACCCACGATATCATCGGCAGCAAATTTATTTGGTGGTGGCGCTGCTGTAGCAGCCTATAGGCAAACACCAGAAAAATGTAGCATAAATACATTGGAAATTGGTAATCTAACGCCACCATCAAGTGCTGTCAAAGATGAAAAGAAATCCGAAGATGAAATAGATGCGGATCACCACAGTGAATCACAAGCGCGAAGACATCGTTTAAAACGCACACATTCGGGTAATTTCAGTTATCTGAAGCGTTTACCAACAGCACCATCGACAAGTAAACGCAATAAAAACATTGAAGCTGGTGGTGGTATACGTACCCTGCTCGATGATTCATCCAGTGAAGAAGATGAATTGGAAGTTATGGAGGCATTATATAGCCCCTTACGTTATTTAGAAGTTAAAGGTGTCATGAGAATGCGTAATAATAATAATGTAATGCATGCCGGTACCAAACAACGTAGTGCATTGTGGCGTGATCGTACGGAAGTAGAGACACGTATACGCATATCATATCGTCGTAAATTGGAAGATCAGCAATTGCAATTTGCTTTGATTATATATGAATCATTAAATGGTTCTGTGGTGGCAACACCAACCAGACGTAATTTGATGTCACAATTTTCGTTATCTTTGGATGAGCCACCGCAGCAGGTAGATGAAGAACAAACACCACCACAACAAATGGAGGCTGAGGAGGAACATATTGAGGCAATTGAGGTTATTGATGCAATTGGACTAACAAGTGGACAACCTGCTGCTGTTGTTACTACCTTGTTAAATGAAGATGAAGATCCCCTTCAAGGGGGTGGTGATACTTCATTGGAAGATTTGTCGGTTGCCAATTTACGCACACCAACGAAATTCAGTCATACCCCGCCTGCAACACCAAAACGTAAACCAAGATCTTTAATGGGTACTGCCTCGGGCATGAAACGTATGAATAATTCACCTCAGGCCCCACCAACACCAAAACGTAGTGCGGCAAGAAGTTTGAGGTTATGATTTGGTGGTAACCTTTTTATTCATCCCAATAATGGTCTCCAGTTTTTTATCGTATTGCTCAACAACTAAAGACTTTAGCATTAGATAATTTTTTTATTTAAAATTTTTTTGAAGTAGTTTTATTAAATGAAAATATATTTTACAGTGGTAGTAGGAGACAGGCCTATTGAACGGATTTTCCGTGTATATAATATGACAAGTTTGTGGGATATTTTAAAGCATAAAATTAAAAAAAATTAGAGGAGACATTTTTAAGTCTTGAGGCTAGTTTTCCCAATGTTTATATTCAAATTAAAGTTAAAAAAAAAAATTCAACTAAAATTCAGAGTATTCAAAATTAAATATATTCTGATTGCCACCATAAAAAATCGAGGTTAGGAAATTTTATTTACTTAAAAAAATTATTAAAATTCAAAGTATAAATTTTAAAATTTTTAAGAAGAACACAGTCGAAGAAGAATTGTCAAAATTCCTTAAATTGTTGGAGAGACGTAAGGTGTCTCTTCCTACAGATTAACCTATCTAATGGAGAAACGTAAGGGGTCTTTTGCTGCAGATTAAACTATCTAATCCAAATCAGGACTAAAACTCGAAATAGTTGAATTCATGGAAGCTCATACCAAAATTGAAGTTTGGAAGTAGCTCAATTGAATTCGTTTGTTTCGAGTTTTACTTATAGGTCTTGAGTATTTTAAGAATATATAAAAACATATATTCAATTTTTATTTTATTTAAAAATTTAAAAAATTTATTTTTTGAAATTAATTTTTATTGCTTTGAATCAAGGTAGATACATAAGGTTTTCGGCGAATTGGGAACATGATATGTCAAAATAGTTAACAAGGCGAATAATAATTGATTCGCCGTAACATATCAAATTTGAAGCGAATTTCATTCAACCAATCAGAATTCAGCATTTTGAAATATTAAACATGATTGTTTACTTTTTGTTAATTTTTAAAATTGTGAATGTTTGTGCAAATTCAGATTGGTGAATGGAAAATAAAAAAAACAGCGACTTAAATTCAAAAAATTAGGAACGGAAGGACGTTGACTATTTATCCTTGAATTTTAATGCATTCCATGGACTCCAAATGAAATTCGAAACAAATGAAATACCATTATAAAGGCATACAAAACGTGTTTTGTTGGAAATCAAGCAAAAATGTAACTGCTCCAAGATTCACAAATACAACAAAATATACTGGATGTAGAATTTTGTTCCACTATCCACTATGTTTCCACTATCTTTTTCTGTTTAAATTTCATCTTCTTTAAGGGTAGAGTTTGTTCTTATGTTATCTGTTGTATCAACTGAAATTCAAGTCATATCTGTGTGCCCATCCATCTGTACTTCATTAAGTAATGATGTTCTTTCCGTTCTGGTCAAAGGCAAAACCAATAGTTTTGGCAATGATATTTTGAAATGGACCAAAAAACTTTATTTCGTTTTCTATGAAGGTCATAACTATGGTATTGTTAGAGGCTGAAGTATAAGATAATCACCGCATAGTTTTGCTCCGCAAAAAATTTAAGTCCAATATTCCAGATTTATATTATCGGCCCGTCCGACTATATTTCTTTTCTCATTGGTTTTTTTAATTATAACATGTATTTCAATAAAAATAAAAAAATTCAAACGCATTGTTTTTGTTTTTAAATTTAAATTCTCTTTTTACCGGCGAATTAAAATAACAAAATTCTATTTGACATATAATGTTACCATCAGCTGCCTTGATACGGTTACCTTATGAATATACCTTGCTTTGAATTTTATTTGTAATTTTTTTTCACCATTTCAATTTTCTTAGAACGAATTTGAGTGAGTTACTATCATATTGAAAAAAAATTAAAAAAAAATAAATGAACAGTTTTTTTACTTACTGATATTTTTGATAGTAACTCATTCGAATTAGTTCGAATCGATTTTTTTAAAAACAAATATGACCTATCTACAAACATTTCGATTCGAATGCAATGATTTTTTTAAATCAAGATAAATTAAAAAAAAAATATTTAAAATCCTTTCACTCGAAATGAAATGAACTCAAACTTCTGAAAATAACTCTCTTCACTAATCTTCCTCGAGGTGGTGGAAAGTTAATGGACAGAGTTAAATATTGCTTTGAATTAAAAAAAATTTTAAAATTATGGCCAATATGGACTATCTTACAAGTATTCTTAAAGCCAATGTTTTACTGTGCATAAAATGTATTTTTTAATATTAGAAAATTCAGCCAAATTATGGTATTTCAACATAACTTGGCGAAGAAATTTCAACAACTTTCATTATTTTTAAATATAATAATTACACATACAATTATTATTTTATATTTCAAAACACATATTCAATTCGAAGCCTTCAAGATTTATTTTATATACACATTTATTTTGTCTTCGAAACTTGTCATATTTTATACAAACCACAATTTATTTTCTTTTTTTTTACAAAAAAACCAAACAAACCCAGTAGTAGTTTTGCAATAAAATATATATTTTTATATCACAATTTTTTCCCGTAATGAACATTTATTTTATTTTTTCCTTTCTTTTTTTTTTTTTGCATTTTATTTATAAATTAATAATATTATTAATATATTATAAATAACAATAATTTTTCGATGCATTTATTTTTCTAATCTAGTAGTTGTGTTTTTAGAATAATATTTTCTACGATTGAAAAGAAAACAAAAAAAAAAAAAACATTTGTATTTATATTTGTTAAAAATCCCATTAAAAGTAAATACCTAATATTTTATATTACATTTATTTTACAAACAATAAATTATAAATAAAACGAGCAATTAAAAAAAAACAGTACTGGAATTACTCAATGGAGATGAACGATGGATAATTAAAAAACATATGTATATTGTGGACAGAAACTCTCTTACATTGTTAATGTTAATGGATTCAATGGGACTATATATTTTCTAACTTACTTCGCTGGCTTGTGACAGAACTTTCCTTCCATAAGCCGAGCTTAAAAAAGATTTCCTGGCCCGTCGGTCTTTTGCGCAGTTTTTCCAATTTGAAACTCGATATTCGGCAATGTTGTCTTCCACTTGGTCTTTCCATCTTATTCGTAACCTTTCCCTTCTGCGTGAACCATCAGCTGCTTCGCTTTTATATGCCTTCTGGGCTGGTGCATCTTCAACCATTCCCACAACATGACCTAGCCAATGTAGTCGCTGCAGCTCAATAGTCTAACAATGTCGATGTCCGAGAATATTCACCGTCAACGCTGATCGGTTCTCAAACACTCCAAGAGCTGGCTCATCTGTTTGCGCAAGTACCCATGTTTGAGATCAATATAACAGATCAACAGTAGTACCAGCGTCTTGTTGAGTGTGAGTTTTGTCTGGCGGTGGTCTGGTGGTCTATCCTTCTCCGAATTTCAAAACTGATATCGTTCGTTTTGGGGGTACCAAAGTATATAAAATCTTTGACTATCTGGAACCCACTTTGGCAAACTCCTTCTCAATTTGTTCAAAGGTGGCTGTTACCGCTCGCAATGTTCGACCCATAATGTCAACGTCGTCGGCGTAGGCGAGTAACATGTGTTGTTTGGTGTACAGGGTGCCATATCTGTTCACATTTGCATCGCGTATGACCTTTTCCAGCAAGATGTTAAAAAGATCTCGCGACAAACTGTTACCTTATTTGAATCTTCGTTCAGTTTTGAAGAGCTCCGATAAGTCCCTTCCGACTTTAACTGCAGAATTAGTGTCAAAGTTATCCTGCATAGCCGTATTAATTTCCGGCAGGAATGCCGAACGCAGACATGGCTTTTAACACCTCTGAACGGATAGGGCTGTCGAAAGCGGTTTTTTAGTTGACGAATAGGTGGAATGTGTCGATGTGTTTTTCGTGTTTTTTTTTCAAGATTTGGCGCAGAGTGAAAATTTGGTCAATGGTGGATTTGCCAGGTCTGAAGGTCATAGACCATTGCCATAGACCATTGGCTTCAATCGTTCACACAGCACACTGGATAGCACTTTATATGCGATGGGAAGGAGACTTATTCCTCTATAGATGGCACATATCGTCTTGTCTTTTTTTGTGCACGGGACACAGGATGCAGAGGTTCCAATCATTGGACATGCATTCTTCTAGACAAATTCTACTAATCAGCTGCTGCATGCTCCTGACCAGCATCTAACCACCAGTCTTGAATAGTTCGACTTGTAACCCATTGACACCTGCTGCTATATTATTCTTCTGACATAAGCTTGGCTAAGTGGTATACACTCTACACCGTCATCTCTTATTGGTTCTCGGATATCCTCTTCACCGCTACTATTTGATACCAGAAGTTTTTCAAAATGCTCCTTCCACATCCTCAGAACGCAGTCTGTATCTGTCACCAGGCTTCCTTCTTCATCTCTACAGGAGAATGTGCCTGCATCAAAGCCTTCCGTTTGGTGTTTTACCCTTTGATAAAATTTCTTAATTCTAAACTTCAATTTATTTTTTTTTTTCAAAACACAAATTTCCCGCAATTTAAAGGCAGTTTTTTTTAACAAATTAATTTTGTTAATTATTATATACACATAAAAACTACAAATTTTCTCCTAACATATAGTGAAAATTTCATGCCAATACATGCATTCATTACTGAGATAAAACCATCTGAAATTGATGTTGTGTCAAAATATAGCTGCTAGCGATTCTGTTTGCCTATTACCCCACAAAAAAAAATAAAAAAAATGAAGAAATTCCAAAAGAAGAATTCAGTAATTGTTGCCAGATCGTTCGGTTTGTGTTTCCCTTTTAGTTTGTAACCAATGAGCATACTTTAACATGCATACATTGAAATAAGATATCCATTACAAATTGGTATGCGGTATGTTATTCATGTAACGCCTATAAATATGCTCAGAATTTGAAAAATAACATGAAAACACACAACTTACGTTGTAATCTAATCTGGTAACACACCTACCTATCCTCGCATTTATCTGTTTTTGTGATCATCCAATTTCTTAATTTTTTCAATTTCAGGTAATAGGCAAACAGAATCGTGTAGCCGCTATATTTTGACACAAGGTAAATTTTAATTAGCTATAGCTCAGTAATGAATGCATGTATCGACGTGAAACTTTCACTATTGGTAAGGGGAGAATTTGTAGTTTTTATGTGTATCGACTATAATACAACTATTGCGTTAAAAGGAGCTAATTACGACTTGTAATCTTTATATAAGGAACATAGAAGTAGACCTATGTCGGCAATTTTCTTCAAGAACATTTTGCAACAAATTGTAAATTACATTCACTTTTCAAGACAAATGTTTGTAAAATTAAAAAAAATAAACCTAGAAACATAGAACTCAAAAAATCCAAATATGTACCGCCAATTCGGTTGCAAAACGAATCTAAAATACCAACATTTAATAATTAATTTAGACGTTCGATCGATCCGATCGATTCGATTCGGACCATTACCTTGTGGCAGCCAAGGTACACACCCGTCTTAATGTAGCAGCAAAGGTGCGATCTATTGTAACACGGAAATTTGACATCGAAAAGCTGCAAACACAACAGATAGCAGAGACCTACCCCACTAAACTTACCCAACTGCTTGACAAAAGCACTTCTTGTCCCGATAATAATATAGAACTACAATGGGAAAGAATTGTCCACTCCCTACAAACAGCAGCAAAGGAAACAACACTTGGGTACCAAAAACCACCATCAAGATATCCATGGTACGATCAGGAGAAAAGGAGAGAGGAGAAACGTGTTCTCAGAAAAAATAAGAAAGAACAAAAAAAAAAAACGTGAGTGTGAGCAAATCGAGATGTACAGGAGTCAGAATGAAGTCCGAAAATTCTAACAACGGGTAAAACACCAAACCGAAGGGTTTGGTGTAGGCACATCCTCCTGTAGAGATGAAGAAGGAAACCTGGTGACAGATACAGACAGCGTGTTGAGGATCTGGAAGGAGCATTTTGAAAAACTTTTGGTATCAAACCTAGCTAAGTTGAAGTCAGAATAGCAATCAATCGCCTGAAGAATAATAAAGCAGCAGGTGTCGATGGGTTACAAGCCAAATTATTCAAGACTGGCGGTCAGATACTGGTAAGGAACATGCACCAGCTGAATAGTACAATTTGGCTAGAAGAATGCATGCCCAAAGATTGGAACCTCAGCATCCTGTGTCCCGTGCACAAAAAAGGAGACAAGACGATATGTGCAAACTATAGAGGAATTAGCCTTCTTCCCATCGCAAATATGAAATGCTATCCCGTACTGTGTGAACGACTGAAGTCAATGGTCAATGGCATTATTGGACCATACCAATGCGGCTTGAGACCTGGCAAATCCACAATTGACCAGATTTTCACTCTGCGCCAAATCCTGGAAAAGACTCACGAAAAACACATCGACACATACCACCTTTTCGTCGACTTTAAAACCGCATTCGACAGTCGTAATCGTTCAGATATGTATAAAGTCATGTCTACGTTCGGCATTTGTGTAAAATTAATACGGCTATGCTGGATAACTTTAAGTGGCACAAGGTCAGCAGTTAAAGTCGGAAAGGACCTATCGGAGCTCTTCAATACCGAACGAGGATTCAGACAAGGTGACAGTTTGTCGTGTGATCATTTTAACATCTTGCTGGAAAAGGTCATACGAGAGGCAAACGTGAACAGAAATGGCAATCTGTACACCAAATAGCATATGTTACTCGCCCAAGCCGATGACATCGATATAATGGGTGGAACATTGCGAGCGGTAACAGCCACCTTTGAACAAATTGAGAAGTTGCCAAAGTTGGTCTGGCAGAAAATGGCGAGAAGACCAAACTGATGGTATCAACGCGCAAGACGTCCAGTAGACTCGGACTAACTGTGGAACTTGAGAATTACAGCTTCGAGGTAGTCAAAGATTTTATATACCTTGGTACGGCCATAAATAAAACGAATGATAATGATGGCCAATAGATGCTACTAAGGTCTGAGCAAACAATTCAAAAACAAGGTCACCTCCTGCCAGACCAAACTCACACTCTACAAGACGCTGCTGCTACCCGTCCTGTTATATGGATCTGAGGCATGGATACTTGCGCAAGCAGATGAGGCAGCTCTTGGGGGTGTTTGAAAGAAAAATTCTCCGTAAGATCTGTGGGCCGATCTGCGTTGACGGTGCATATCGCCGTCGAATGAACCATGAACTGTACCAGCTATTCTCGGACATTGACATTGTTAGACGTATTGAGCTGCAGCGGCGACTACGTTGGCTAGGTCATGTTGTGAGAATGGATGAAGATGCCCCAGCCCAGAAGGCATATAAAAGCGAACAAGCTGATGGTTCATGCAGAAGGGGAAGACCACGAATCAGATGGGAAGATCAAGTGGAAGACAACATTGCCGAATATGGTCTTTCAAATTGGAAAAAAACTGCGCAAAAGACCGACGCGCCTGGAAATCTTTTTTAAGCTCGGCTGTTCTTTGTTCTTTTTGCTATCTATTTTAATTTCAAAATTCTGGTTGCCTTATATATATAACAAAATACAATTTTATTTTTATTTTATTTTTAATTTATTTTATTTTTGTTTAATTTATAAATGTGGACATTTGAACTAATAATAATAATAATTATACACTAAAGTATATAAATACAAAAAAAAATAGATACATAATATATTAAGGACAATGACTATAATTATAATAAGATTTATATAAACATATATTTATTTTTATAACATTTATTAAGTTACGTATTTGAGTGGACCAATATAAAGAATTTTACATTTAAAAAAATATATATTTAAATTTGAGAGGTAACTAATTAAGTTTATAGAGGACAAATAATAATGTATATATGTATGTATGTTTTAACATGGATGTTAATGTACTTTTTTTATTAATAAACTTAAAATTATGTTTTTATTTTTTTAAGAAATTAATTGTATTAAATACTGATATGATAACAAGACTATATATATTAGGCTAATGTTAGTTTTTTTGAGACAGTAGAGAAGCGAATGTGATTTGGAAGGTGAAATAAGACATTGTTTATATGTTTTTGAAAATTAAAAATATTATTATCTCAATAAAGTGTTGTTTTTTAATTTTCTAAATTTTATTTTGAAATGTAAATTACCTTAATTACTAATAGCTTATATAATTATTTATATAAAAGAAAACAATTACACAAAGGAAGGAAAACATATTACACATTTTATATATATAAATCCTAAATATTAAACTTAACGAATTATACTTGATAAATTGTGCTATTGTCGGTGTCGACCGGTATGGGTTTGACAATATAACGTCGACGATCCGCCAGGGATAGGGGAGGCACCACAATGTCTTCACTATTTTCTGCAGGGGTTGATAGCTAAAAAAAGTTGTTTAAAAAATAGAGACATAATTTTTTTTTTTTTTGTATTAATTTATAAAAAACACAAAAGACTACTACTAGAAATAGATTTGGTAAATAGAAATATTTTCGAATATATTTTTGGTCTAAAAATATAGTTGTAATTTTCAAATATTTGACAATTTTTTTGTGCATAATAATTTTTAGTGATTTGAAAAAGTAATTTTGCCCGTCTCACCACATAAATACATGCAAATATTTACATTTTAATTTCGATCCAAATTATATTCTTAAGAATTTTGAATTTTGAGAAATAGATACGACCATGCCATGAATTTTGAGTATATTTACATTGAAATAAAAATAATAATTAATTAATTTTATTTTTAATATGCAATAATAATTTAAATTAATTAAAATTTATTGGGTGATATAGGGGATGATAGATACCAAGCAAACGGCTCTGATTGGATTTAACATGGCAAAAAGTCCAGGCTTATCTTGGCGCCTCTTTCCATCTCAATTGTGGACACTGACCTCCCCGCAGTGTTACCTGGGGTAGCTATTTTCATCATCCGTTAAAATAGTGAGCTGATACAGGGTGAGATAAAAAAACTGCAACAAAGTCAAGGGTCATAATTTTTACACTTTTTTTAAATTTTATTGAATGAAAGCAAAAATGTCGGAAATAGCGTAAAATTTTAGAATAAGTTTAGATTTGTTCGAATTGGTCACCTTTGGCGCGAATTATGGCCTTCAAGCGGCCAATGAAACCATCACACGCTGCGAGATTGTTGTTCTGAGGTATTTTGGTCCATTCTCGGCGAAGCGCTTGCTTGAGGTGATCGACACTTTGGTATTTTTTAGTGCCAACCTTGCTTTCCAAAATACTCCAGACACAATAGTACAATGGATTAGTATCCGGAGATGTTGGTGGCCATTGTGCGCTGGAAATGAAGCCAGGAACCTCATTTTGTAACCATTCTTGAGTGGCGCCGTCCACCATCGCACTCAGGATGGTCCTGTTGGAATGTCCAAGGTCTGCGGCCAACATGTTTGCGTGCCCAAGGCTTTAATACACCCTCCAGAATATTTTCGCGATAATATTCAGCATTTATTCTGAGGATATTCGATTAATACGAGCGAAGAGCTACCATCGTTTGTTATGGCGGCCCACACCATCACCATGGCCGACGCTTGAGTTTTGGTGGCCAACCGATGGTTCACATTTTCAGCTGACCTGCAAAGTAAACAAATTCGGCAGTTCACCAGACAAATTCGGCAGTTTCCAGTGACAGATGGAAACATTTTAACCGCTTTCGGACGAGTGGCTTAGAAATGACAGCAGTCTGAAGTTGGTTGCAGTTTTTTCATCTCACCCTGTATGTGCCGCGAGTTCACCCATAAGAACTATAAAAAAAATGGGTTGAAGCGTCGGGTTAGTTGCCCACTCTCGGAAAACCCAACCTACTATGAAAAAGCAAAGAAAAAGAAAATCAAACCCCACTAATGTTGACGACCCCCGCAAACGTATAAAGGACCACGATCTGCGAATCTGTACTTGAAATGTGCGCACGTTGCACAGAACAGGCGCAGTTCTCGCTTTTGCGTATATACTCAAGAAGTACGAAATGCGATGGAAAAGTGACAGGCGTAACTTAATCAGATGATTACGCACTGTATTATAGCTGCCATGAAATGAGCCATGAATATGACTGCGGATTTTTGGTTAACAGGAGAATAAAAGACCTCATCTCCAGATTCACTCCAGTAGATGAGCGAATTGCTATAATCCGCATAAAAGCGAAGTTCTTCTACATTAGTCTTATTTGCGCCCATGCTCCTACATGGAAGACAAAGATGAGCAGACCAAAGACATATTTTACTAGCGCCTAGACTTAGCATACTGCTGCCCTGGCCATGACATACAAATTCTGCTAGGAGATTTTAATGCAAAAATCGAAAAAATGGCCCCACTGTCGGAAAATTCAACCTCCATGAAAGACATGTGACAATGGCTGAGGTTAATTGACTTCGTGGCAGCAAAAAAAAAAAAAAAAAAAAAAACATTGTAGTTAGCAACATCATATTCAAGCATCTCAATATATACAAGCCCTCTTAGATTTCTCCAGATTAAGCAACGAGAAATTTAATTGACCATGTTGTGATATGCGGAAGGCATTCATCCAGTGTTTTAAGGGCGAAACACTTAAGAGTACTTTCAGGCTTGGCATGTTAAGTTGACTTCTTTTGTTGTAAAAGAATAAAGGAGAACGTAGAATTAATTGACAAGTCATACGAAGCCAACTTAACAGGGCAGACCTGAATCCTCTTTCCCCTTCAGACGTTCTATCGATCCGAGGAGCGAATACCGATTCGGACCATTATCTTGTAGTAGCCAAGGTTCGCACCCGTCTTAATGTAGCAGCAAAGGTGCGATTTAATGTAACACGAAAACTGGACGTCGAAAAGCTGCAAACACAACAGTTAGCAGAATCTAACTCCGCTCAATTTACCCACTTGCTAGAGCAAAACGCTCCTTATCCCGATAATAATAAGAATTTGGAAGCACAATGGCAAAGAATTGCCCACTCCCTACAAACTGCAGCATAAGCATCAATTGGGTACCAAACATCACCATCATGAAACCCATGGTACGATCCGGAGTGTCGTAATGCTACTGATGTGAAAAACGCAGCGTATAGGGCAACCCTGCAGACAGTAGCAAAACGTAATGCGATGGAGAATTATCGGCAGAAAAGGAGAGAGGAGAAACGTATTTTCAGAAAAAAAGAAGAAAGAACAAGAAATAAAGTCCGAAAAATTTACCAACGAGTAAAACCCCAAACCGAAGGCTTTGATGCCGGCACATTCTCCTGTAGAGATGAAGAAGGAAACCTGGTGGCAGCTACAGACAGCGTGCTGTGGATCTGGAAGGAGCATTTTGAAAAACATCTGGTATCAAGTAGTAGCGGTGAAGAAGATACCCCAGAACCAATAAGAGATGATGGTATAGAGTGTATACTACCTAGCCAAGATGGGGCAATTAATCGGCTCAAGAACAATAAAGCAGCAGGAACCGACGGGTTACCAGCCGAACAATTCACGACTGGTGAGCAGACGCTGGTCAAGAGCATGCATACTCAATGATTGGAACATCAGCATCCTGTGTCCCGTGCACAAAAACAAGGTACAAGACGATATGTGCCAACTATAGATGACTTAGTCTCCTTCCCATCGCATATAAATTGTCATCCAGCGTGTTGTGTGAACGACTGAAGTCAATGGATACTGACATTATTGTACCACACAAACGTGTCTTCAGACCTGGTAAATCAACCGTAGACCAGATATTCACTCTGCGCCAAATATTGGAAAAACTCACGAAAAACACATCGACACATTCCATCTATCGACGACCGCATTCGACAGCCCTATCCGTTCAGAGATGTTTAAAGCCATGTCTGCGTTTTGAATTCCTGCGAAAATAATACGCCTATGCAGGACTACTTTAAGTGGCACAAGGTCAGCAGTAAAAGCCGGAAAGGACCTCTTGGAGTCCTTCTATACCGAACGAGGATTTAGACAAGGTGACAGTGTGTCGTGTGATCTTTTTGACATTCTGCTGCAAAAGCTCATACGAGATGCAAAGGTGAACAGAAATTGTATTCTGTACACCAAACAGCATATGTTACTCGCCTACGCCGATGACATCGATATAATGGGTTGAACATTGCGAGCGGTAACAGACACCTTTGAATACATTGGGAAGGAGTCTGCCAAAGTGGGTCTGGCAGTAAACGACGAGAAGACCAAGCTGATGGTATCAACGCGCAAGGCATCCAGTAGACTCGGATCTACTGTGGATCTTGAGAACTACAACATCGAGGTAGTAAAAGATTTTATATACCTCGAAGATAAAGATTTCTTTTTATGGCGGTACCAAGCGCCATAAAAAAACGAATGACATCAGTTTTGAAATTCGGAGAAGAATTGTGATGGCCAACAGATGCTACTATGATCTAAGTAAGGAGTTTAGAAGCAAGGCCACCTCTCGCCAGACCAAACTCACACTCTTCAAGACGCTGATATTACCCGTGCTGTTATATGGTTCTGAAGCATGGATACTTAAGCAAGCAGATGAGTCAGCTCTTGGAGTGTTTGAGAGAAAAATTCTCCGAAAGATCTACGGACCGATCTGCCTTGACGGTGAATATCGCCGTCGAATGAACCATGATTTGTACCAGCTATTGACGGACATCGGTATTGTTAGATGTATTGAGCTGCAGCGACTATGGGGGGATGGGTAATGTTGTGCGAATGAAAATGCCTCAGCCCAGAAGGCGTATAAAACCGAACCAGCTGATGGTTCACGCAGAAGGTGAAGGCCACAAATAAGATGGAAAGATCAAGTCGAAGACAACATTGCCGAATATGGTCTTTCAAATTGGCAAAACTGCGCAAACGACCGACGCGCTTGGAAATGTTTTTAAGCTCGGCTTATGGAACGCAAGTTCTGTCACAAGCCAGCTAAGTTAGTAAGTAATAGATTGAATAATATTGAAAAACATTTTAAAAAATTTGAAATTTTCTTAAAAATTATTTAAGAGATCCACGCTTATTATTATTAAAAAAAAATAATAGACCGGTTTTTTGGTCTAATTCGAAAATGGGCTTCTTCATATCATTGTGGGGCGTATACGTATTCCAAATATCCATTAAAATAAGTATACGTACCAATAGGTTTTCTTCTCTAAAAAATATGATTTTTTTACATACATACAATTAAAAATCATTTATAAAATTCCCAATAAATATTATTATTGCAAATTAAAAATAAAGAGAATATTATTACTATTAACAACAAAAATAATAACAATAATAATAAAAATTCTTACTTACTCATAGGTAATTTCATAACAACAAATACTTATATGCGTGTTAAACCCATCACAACAACAACAATAATAACAAAAATTTACTCAGCAATTTGATTTTTGTTTTTGTTAATTTAAAAATTTAATTTCAAGTGTACAAATACAAACGATCGATCGGTCGATCGTATTGATAAATGACAAAAAGTGGACACATTTTGAATGCAAATCACAAAATATTTACTGAATGGCTGACTGACAGACTGACTAAACACAAAAGACAATAATCCAAACAAATAGAAAAGTAAACAAAAATATACAAATATAAAACTGTTTTTTTTAATTTAAAAATTTAATTTTCAGTTCAAAATGAAAAAATATAAATATTGGCAAGAAATGTATGTTTTATACAAAAATTGGACAATTTACATGGGTGTAGCATCAGATTATAGCTCAGATTTTCTTTGAGTATGTGTGTGTGGCTTTGTGTAAAGTTGCACTTGTAAAGTTCTTGTGTATGTGGGTGGTTTTAGTTTATTTTTTTTTTAATTCTGTTGACCTCCATCAACGTAGTCAATGGAAGATGTCTACAAAAAAAGAAGAACAAAACAAAAAGAAAGAAAAAAACAAAACACAAAAAAAACTTATAACATTTTTAACAATTGTTAACATTTTATATTTTATGTATTATTTATAACAATTTATATATATATACAAATATAAATTCATACAAAATATTATGAAGACATTTTCCCTCCATTTTTTATTTAAAAAAAAATGTCATTTAAATTTGAGCGCTATTCCTGACTGTCGGCACATTGGTCTTACTGCAGTATCGGTTTATTAAAATTTAAATGGATTAATGATATATCTTTCTTGGTTCAAAGGTGTCATATAAGGCTGCGTTTATGGAAATTCGTACTAGAACGTATTGACATATACTAAAAAAGTACTAAATGTGGTACCATTTGTATTTGGCGAAGCGGTAAAACTAGAACTCTTAAATTGGAAATGATTGAGTTTAGAATAGATGTTGCAAGGGTTTTTTGGACATTCGAGTACGTATCCGAAAAGTCCGAGAATGTACAAAATTTGGTACAATTTCGTATCAATAGAGCTAAAAACATGAAATTTGGAATGCGAAACAAGATTTAGAAGTAGGAACGATATAAAGAGGTTGCTTTGGAAGTGTGTACTCATGTATACGAAAAGTACTAAACTGTACTAAATTTGGTACAATTTGAATTTGGAGAAACGGATGGGGCTGCAAGCATTACCGTCGGAGTGTAGGATAACAATATGTAGGTAGTTTTGGAAATTTGTACTTATGTGTACGAAAAGTACTAAATTTAGTACAATTTGGATTTGGGTAAACCAATAGAGCTGGAATCTTGAAACTTGACGTTAGGAAATGTGTACTAAATTTGTCCAATGTCGTGGTGAGTAATTTTTATACTCTTCACTACACTGTGGTACAAGGTATTGTGTCTTTGTGAATATGTTTGTAACATGGAAAAGGAAAAAAATACATGGTTCCTTTTGAGAATATGCATAAAATTACAGTCGATTTATGCGTGTCCGTCTGTCTGTCCATGTTAAATGAAATTTGGTGCAGGTCACTTATTTAACCCAATGACAAACCCTATTGAAATTGGGAAAAATCGTTTAAAATTTAGATATAACTCCCATATATATTTTCGTCCGATTTAATGTAAATGGTGTACCAAAGTCCCTATATATTTTTTGATTTGCACGAAATTTGGTTCAGCGTACTGAATTGAGTCTAGAACAATGTGTGCTAAGCTTCGTAAAAATCGGTCCAGATTTATATGTAGCTCCCATATATATTTTCGTCCGATTTAATGTAAATGGTGCACCAAAATTCCTATATATCTTTCTATTTGCACGAAATTTGGCATAGTGTACTGAATTAAGTCTAGAATGATATGTAAGTTTCCTGAAAATCGGTTCAGATTTACATGTCTGATTTTACACAAAATTTTGCACAACGTACTGAAGTTACTATCGGTAACCGTTTCAGATTTAGATATAGGTCTTACATATAGTTTCGTCTGATTTTAAGTAAAAGGTGCACCAAGAATTCAAAATGTTGCCGATATGCACAAAACATACTGAAAAAATTAGTATAACCTAACCTGCGACAAGTTTCGATGAAATCGATATAGATTTCGATATAACTAAGTAAATGGTGCACCATGGTGCATCATGTTTATCCAAATAATTAACGGTTGTCCGGTTGATATTTGGCAATTTCATGTTAATGGTCCTTCAAAAATACGACGTCTGTTAGGATTCATCTGTTGAATATACCCAAAGTGGTGAAGGGTATCATATAGTCGGTCCCGTCCGACTTGACTACTTTCCTTATAGTTCATGTGGGTGTTACCAAAGATGGTGGCAGTTTGCAAACATTTTTTTGACATTCGACGACCTTTTTGGTAGCTTCAGTGTAGTTGTTTAACCACATTCGACTTTTTTGGCATTTAACAAATGTAGAGTAGAAGTTCGATTGTCTCTATTCATACTACAATACAACCATTTACAAGAGGTTTTCTAAATTACTTAAAGTCGACATATAAGGCCTTTCATTACATTTCATTTCATGTTCTACGCTCACACATTCCTGAATATCTAAGCATCATTGCATTTATGGACATCTGAACAATTATCTGGGTATTTAGAGTCGTTTAGGACAGTCTGAGGGTAACTTTTGATAACTACATATGTAGCAATGTAACCCTTTGCCCCACATACCAAACTATACATCAACAGCATGGGTGTTCGTGCATGAATATCTTTGTCCGAAATATGGGGGACATTTCTTTGGTACCTAAAACTTTTGATCCTAAACAGTGTATTTCAAGTAGAACAATGAAGAAACCCGATGAACTATCTAGAGGTAGATTCACTTTTAATGTACTGCAGAAGCAGTCGATTTCAATGCCTCAGGGAGTGGTTAAAAGGGAATCCTTCGTATTATATTATGTTAAAAGGCCTTGAAGCTTGTGGTGTGTCACAAAATAACTGATATTATGTATATTATTTACTTGAAAAAAACTCTTAGAAAGAATAGGCCATGTTTTGACTAACCTATATAAAGGTTTTTGGCGATTAAAAACTTTTACACATAAAAGTATAGTTCCATGTTATACACATTTCATATGGCCTGTACAAACATCTGGACAGTTTTAGTTATTTCGATGGAATATTATAACCAAAGTGGCTGTAAGTTTGCATTCCTGTTATTTAAGGGTGAAAAGATTATTTATCATTTTTTTGCCGCAGCCTTCTTTCCTTATTTCATGCATTTTTTGGTCTTTGGCCATTTTCGATAACAACATTGACGTTTGTAGACAACTCTAAGTAGTTACACTTTGTATTTTTATTTGAACTATATAGACGTTATCGATTTGTGATAACATCGTCTCAAGAAACAAAAAATTGTCTGTAGATTTTTATCCTATACATTGTTAAACATAAATACAAAATTACAACAAATACAGTATATAACAAAAATAAAATACCTTCACCTGATAACTAGCTAAATGTTCTAACTACAACACTCCAAACCCCACTTATAAACTAAACGAATATATATAACATTTTATAAAATATAAAAAAACATAAAAATGCCATTAAACTGATATTAGTAGAAAAAATAAATATATGTACATAATAACAACACCCACTTATGTACATATACATATAAACAATAAAACAAAATAATTAACAATCAATAATAATAATAAAATATAACAATAAACAAATACAAAATACAAACAAAACGAATTCAACAATTTATTTGTCAAAAACAAGTAATTAGACCCGAATCGGTTTTATACGCACCAGAAGACATTTGCATTGGTTCTCATCATAATAGGAACCGGTGGTACAATTCTCTGTTTGTCGACAGACACAGCGGCAGGAATTCTCATCCCAATCTTTGTGTTCCAATTCCAGGCATTTGTCGCGGGCATCTGTATTTGTGCAGTGGCAGCGACAGTCTTCATAGGTTTGATAGGCATTGCAATCCTGTGGGGATATAAAAAATACGAATTTAAATCAGAGTTGAACAGAATTAAATTAAGAGTAAATGTGTGAGAGCGGCGCTGAGAATACGACATCAAAAACGATTGACGAAAAGTGAAAATAAGAGAATACATGTCCACTATCGTACTATTTTGTGCATTAGTGATTTAAATAAATACAAAAAAATCCAACATGGAGGTATTGAAACTCATTCTCATTATCGTTATTGCAGTTTTTTTCAGAACTCACCTTAGGTTTGACCCGACAATCACATTTACACTCCAAATGCTGTTCGACGGGTATAATATCTAAGCCGCAAAACTTCGCAACATGATCGTAGCAATAACGATACACTTGATAATTGACAATTTCCGTTTTGGTTGGCTGACAGGACATCCAAGGGGTGCTACAACAACCGCCACAACGTTTGACTCGAGTACACTTGGGGAAATAATTATTTTTCGGATTGATGGGAGTCAGATCTACAACTGTGGGTTCGGGTATGCAATTTGCTGCCTTGGCTCGAACAACGGAGGCTAAAAAATTACAAAAATAAATTTAAATTGAGCATTTAAAAGGATTAACAGCCTGTTTTTGTAAAATTCCAAACGAACGAATTCGAGTGACTTACGACCAAACCTTTATTTATGTTTATAAAGTTTTTCTGATTAAAAACAAAAATAAATGACATATTTTTCAAAACCAAGGAGTTTGGTCGTAAGTCACTCGAATTCGTTCGTTTGGAATTTTACAAAAACAGGCTGTAAAAATAATTACCTCTTTCAACATTTCTGCGCAGATTTTCTGAAAAGTCGGGGAGAGAACAAGAAATTTAAATTAATGAAGATGTTTCGAAGGGATTGAAAATAAATTGCTTACCATGTATGCCCAGTTTTGGATCTATACTGTCTGGGTCAATGAACTTTTCGATGAATTCAGAAATATCGGTGATGTTATTTAGAGCTCGATAAAAATCCATTGGAATCTAAAAAAAAACAATCGAAATAAAAACAAGACAATAAAAATAAAAGCATAAATTCAAGATATGAGGGAGTCAAAAAATTCAAGATGCAAGACTTGAAAAAACTTTAAATGAAATCGCACTGTTTGGACTGAAAGTGATAGAAAAAAATTTTGTGGATAATAAAATATTCTTTAAAAAATCCACGCCTTGTATAGCCCTTAAAAATTATTATGTATAAGGCATGAAGTATCAAAATTAAATACCTCACCCGAACTCTCTTAAAAATGTATAACAGAATTTAAATAGTATTAACGTAATTTTTTATTTCCCGTTTGTAATTAAACTTGTCAATACTATAATAGCTAACTTTTAAACTTTACTTTAATACAAAGAAAATTAACATTAAATAATTAACGCTTCACTTTAGCGTCAACAGGTGGATGAGTCATAAATGTTGCCATTCTAAAAGCGTTTCAATCGCAATGGAGAAAAGTGAAATGAATAGTAAAAACAAAATTACGATGGACGTTTTCTAGCCACTTCTTCAATCCATTCATCCACCCCATGACAACAATAAAAAAAAACAATCGTCAGAACAATTGCCATTAAGAACGTGATAAAATGTCAATTAATATTGCCAATAAGCAAAACCAATTGTGATTAAGGTGACCGATGTGTGTGTGTGCGTGCACGAGGTAGTTAGACCGAATTGAATTTCAAATATTATTTAATCAATTATGTGATTTTCAAATCCATAAGGGTTGGATTTTTAAAGAATAATAATAATTTTTAATGTTATCATTAAGGGTTGATTTGTTAAAAAAATATTTTAAAGAATATTTTTAAGGGCTATACAAGGCGTGGATTTTTTTAAAGAATATTTTTTAAGGGCAGGAATTTTTAAGAAATACTTTTTAAGGGGTTATTAAAGGCCTGGATTTTTTTAAGAATATTTTAAAGGGCTGGAATTTTAAAAGAATATTTTTAAGGGACTATTAAAGGCCTGGATTTTTTAAAGAATATTTTTAAGGGATATACGAGGCGTGTCCACTCCCTACAAACTGCAGCAAAAGCAAGACTTGGGTACCAAAAACCACCACCAAGAAACCCATGGTACGATCAGGAGTGTCGTAATGCTACTGATGTGAAAAACGCAACCCTGCAGACAGTAGCAACACGTAACGTGATGGAGAATTATCGGGAGAAAAGGAGAGAGGAGAAACGTGTATTCAGAAAAGAGAGGAAAGAAAGAACAAGAAAAACGTGGGCGTGAGCAAATCGAGATGTACATGAATCAGAATGAAGTCCGGAAATTTTACCAACGAGCAAAACACCAAACCGAAGGCTTTGGTGCCGGCACATCCTCCTGTAGAGATGAAGAAGGAAACCTGGTGACAGATTGCGTGTTGAGGATCTGGAAGGAGCATTTTGAAAAGCTTCTGGTATCAAATAGTGGCGTGAAGAAGATACCCCAGAACCAATAAGAGATGATGGTATAGAGTGGTATACACTCTAGCCAGGATGTGGTCATAAAATCAATTAATCGGCTCAAGAACAACAAAGCAGCAGGAGCCGATGGGTTACCAGCTGAACTATTCAAGACTGGTGGCCAGATGATGGTCAGGAGCATGCACCAGCTGATTAGTACAATTTGGCTAGATGAATGCATGCCCAATGATTGGAACCTCAGCATCCTGTGTCCCGTGCACAAAAAAGGAGACAAGACGATATGTGCCAACTATAGAGGAATAAGTCTCCTTCCCATCGCATATAAAATGCTATTCAGTGTGCTGTGTGAACGACTGAAGCCAATGGTCAATGACATCAATGGACCATACCAAGGCGGCTTCAGACCTGGCAAATCCACCATTGACCAGATTTTCACTCTGCGCCAAATCCTGGAAAAGACCCACGAAAAACACATCGACACATACCACCTATGTGTCGACTATAAAGCCGCATCCGACAGCCCTCAGAGCGCTCAGAGGTGTTTAAAGCCATGTCGGAGTTCGGCATTCCTGCAAAATTATTACGGCTATGCAGGATAACTTTAAGTGGGACAAGGTCAGCAGTTAAAGTCGGAAATGACCTACCGGAGCCCTTTAATACCGAACGAGGATTCAGACAAAGTGGCAGTTTGTCGTGTGACCTTTTTAACATCCTGCTGGAAAAGATCATACGAGACGCAAAGGTGAACTCTGTACACCAAACAACACATGTTACTCGCCTACGCCGATGTCATCGATATAATGGGTCGAACATTGCGAGCGGTAACAGCCACCTTTGAACAAATTGAAAAGGAGTCTGTCAAAGTGGGTCTGGCAGTAAACGGCGAGAAGACCAAGCTGATGGTATCAACGTGCAAGACGTCCAGTAGACTCGGACCAACTGTGGAACTTGAGAACTACAGCTTCGTGGTAGTTAAAGACTTTATTTACCTTGGTACCGTCGTAAATAAAACGAATGACATCAGTTTTGAAATTCGGAGAAGGATTGTGATGGCCAACAGATGCTCTATGGTCTAAGTAAGCAGTTTAGAAACAAGGCCACCTCCCACCAGACCAAACTCACACTTTACAAGACGCTATTATATGGATCAGAAGCATGGGTGCTTGCGCTAGCAGATGAGGCAGCCCTTGGGGTGTTTGAAAAAAAAAAATTCTCCGGGCCGATCTGCGTCGACGGTGAATATTGGCGTCGAATGAATCACGAGCTTTACAATTTATACGCGGACATCGACATAGTCAGTTCCAATTTGGTGGATTTGCGCACAAGACCGACGCGTTTGGAAATCTTTTTAAGCTCGGCTTATAGAACAACCGTTCTGTAATAAGCCCGCTAAGTAAGTATACGAGGCGTGTATTTTTAAAAGAATATTTTTATTCTCAAGATACTTGGAGAGTATTCTTTAAAAACTTGTGTCTATTGGTCTAAAATGACTTAGAATTGGTTTTAAGGGACTTCGAAAAATAATCTTTAAAAATTCGTGCCTCCGAAAAATATTCTTTAAAAATTCGAATTTATTTTTCAAACTTCCAAGTTTTTTTCAATATCCCCATAATCCACCCTATTACATGTTCTTAAGTGAAGAATCCCCATTGATTACCTGCTTAATTTACATTACATTTTTTATATACGTAATTCTTGCTGTTGTTGTACGGAACTAATCGTTTAAGATATTCATATTTGGCGCCAGCTTCAAAATTCATTCATTCAACTCGTGCCTTCGGGTCAAATATAGAAACCACAGCAGCAACAACAACAACAAAACAGACAGATATCATTATTTGTTCAGATAGGCAGTCAGTCAAAACGACGATTGTTGTCTCCAAGCCATAATTCAGAGAACAACAACGATGTGCGGTTAAGTGATGAATCACCTGGAATTCTTTAAATAAAAAAAACAATACTCGAATCTACCTACTTACATATGTATTCACAAATGTATATATACATACATATATACAATCTTTAATTAGAGACATTTTTCTGACGTCGTGTGTTTTGTGATTCGGGTTATTTTTAAAACAAAAAAACATTTGTTTTTTTTTCATTTGCTGTGAGGGTGTATTTTATCAACCAGCATCTGGCTTTTTAACCATAATTCTTATTTAAATACGGATTATACGGCTTAATATTTTTTCGGGGCTTTTAAGTGAACATTTTTATGGTTGTTTAAAATAAGTGATTCCCATTTTGTTTTTGATTCAGGAGCTATCATAATTTCACTGAAATCTTTACCCCTGATTTCTTCTTAACGATTTGTAATCAGGTCAAAATCACATTTCCTGGTAATGATTTCAAATCATTGCCTTATTCATAATTTCCGTTTAGTTGTGAAAAAACTATTTATGGTTGGAAATTTTGTGTTCTACTTTTTTATTTAATTTTTTGCAAAATATCAAGAGCAGGATAATATCACAGAAATACAAACAAATATTTGTTTATATTTATTTTTCGAACGGAAATTGTGATATTAACAATTACTAACAACAACATTAGCCAATATCAACTATTTTCGTATGAGTAATATTAACAACAACAACAGCAACATTTACTACACATTATAAAACACTTGTCTTTAGACATGTTTACTTAGCTTTTTTAATAAAATCATGTTAGTTGGAAATATTGTTTATAATAAAAATTAAGAAAAAAACAATAATTTGTTAAGTAATTTCAAACACTTTTTTAAGAGCATAATGAGCGATTTTTTTAAAGAAAATATTTTTTCAAACATGTATAAGGCTATATTTGGCGTGGATTTTTTAAAGAATAGTTTTCCAGGTCTACCCAATGCGTGGATTTTTTAAAGATTATTTTTTAAGGGCTATACAAGGCGTGGATTTTTTAAAGATTATTTTTTAAGGGCTATACAAGGCGTGGATTTTTTAAAGATTATTTTTTAAGGGCTATATAAGGCGTGGATTTTTTAAAGATTATTTTTTAAGGGCTATACAAGGCGTGGATTTTTTAAAGATTATTTTTTAAGGGCTATACAAGGCGTGGATTTTTTAAAGATTACTTTTTAAGGGCTATACAAGGCGTGGATTTTTTAAAGATTATTTTTTAAGGGCTATACAAGGCGTGGATTTTTTAAAGATTATTTTTTAAGGGCTATACAGAGGCGTGGATTTTTTAAAGATTATTTTTTAAGGGCTATACAAGGCGTGGATTTTTTAAAGATTATTTTTTAAAGGGATCCACACAAGTCATGGATTTTTCATAGAATATTTTTTCAAGGCGTGGATTTTTTAAAGATTATTTTTTAAGGGCTATACAAGGCGTGGATTTTTTAAAGATTATTTTTTAAGGGCTATACAAGGCGTGGATTTTTTAAAGATTATTTTTTAAGGGCTATACAAGGCGTGGATTTTTTAAAGATTATTTTTTAAGGGCTATATATGGATTTTTTAAAGATTATTTTTTAAGGGCTATACAAGGCGTGGATTTTTTAAAGATTATTTTTTAAGGGCTATACAAGGCGTGGATTTTTTAAAGATTATTTTTTAAGGGCTATA